ACCCAAACAAATTGGTAATGTGCTGTTTTGATAGTTGACATACAGAAGGCTAAAACTTTTCTTTTTATGTAATGTTCACTCTTAGGCCTAAAAATAGCCCTTTAGGTGCCAAAACATTGGTCGGTCAGTCAAAAATCTTTTTTTTTTCATACTCTTTTTTTCATACTTTTTTTCTTTCTCCCTCATTGGGCTGGCATTTCTCAGTTTTGAATGCTTTAATTCATATTTTTTTTTATTCAATAAACTTTTTTAAATGCCAACCGTGGATTTCAAGATTTTTGGGTCGGTCGCAAAGGGCAATACATCTTCTTTTGTGGGGGGCCTTATAGCCATACATATCTAAATTGCTTTTTCTTAATCAGTGGTCTTTGATTGCACACTGGTTTACATCGTAACTACATCTACATTCATCAGGGGTGGGACAGGTTAAGAGTTACCATAATTCTCTCTTTCTGTGATAATTAATGATATGATTATTTTTTGTGAAATCACACTGAATAAAATAGGAGAGGACTGCAAACAATTTTAGGAATTTTGTGTGTGTATTCCTTGGATTTGATCTAGGCCCCATTTCACAAATCTTGTCATCATGGAGTGACAATTAAATTACTGTTTTTGTTATAATCTAGTGAAATCCTTGCTTCTGATTGCTAATCAGCAGATTTGTCACTGATTTTTATAATTTGTCATTGAGAAAAGGGTTTGTGAAACGGGTCCCTACTCTTATGATTTGATGATGTACAAAAGAAAGTTGAATCATTGTAAATTAAATTGAACATTGTACTGTCAACTTTGTCAAGAAATGATCTTTATTCTACTTTTAGGCCTTTTAATACATATACTTTCAAACTATTCACAATCTATCATGATGTAGTTAATTGCTCTACAAGGAGATTAAAAATTGCATGTTTTGTGGATGGGCAAAAGCAACGGTGAAGAAACAAGCTGGAAATGATTTCCAAGTGAATTTTTTGTGTAAAATAAAAAGCAGTGATACAATCTACTCAAATCTTGGAAAGATTCCTAAAATGTCAAGAGGAGGTGTGGTGGGTGGATGTGCCTCAAAGTATGGATATACATGAAGGAAACTACTCATGTATTTACAAACAAACATAATGTTAAATTTCTCTGAATAATGTGTACAGTACCTTTATGAATATATATCTGAAAGTGATATGTTTTTGTCCTCATAAATTTATCAAATATGGAATATAAAACATCCTATACATATTACGTATGTACTGGTATATGATACAAAATAAAGAACCATATAATGCTATACACTGTAGAACTAGAGATGTGCTGTGGTCATCTACTCTATCTTATATGTACACTGGTCTAAATACATTACTAGATATTGACTAACTGATATTTAGTAATCTACATTATAAAGTGCTATACAGGCTATATATGTATGTGTATCAAATATTAATGAAGCATAAACCATATACATGTATGTATAATATACATAACAACACATCACACACACAAAAATAGGAAAACAATATAAAGTTTATACAGTAGGCTTGCGGGTGCACCATGTGAGAGAGAGAGAGAGAGAGGATTGAGGAGCTTTTACATTCATAAAAGATATACAGGAATATGTTTTCATTTCTTTATGCACTCTTGAAACAAACCCTGAGTATATATTCTTAACGTTCACAGCAAACATCAGCAAAACAGAATTACTTACTTTTCAGTAAGCTCCCACCTTCATTAGCAGAAAGATCATGCACAATTTGAAATACAAGCAAGCAAAGGTTAAAAGCAAGGCAAACAAATTTATAGAATTATAAAGCTGGCAATTAAGCATGAAAACATTAAGCAAGCAGCATTTAAAGAGTGAGAATTAAGTGACTGGATTAATTGATCAACTTAGAAATTGACCACCCAAAGTTTGAAATATTAGACAATTTACAGATTTGCTAAGCGTTAAAGTATCATAAGTTATAAAGTCAAAATAGAAAACCTTTATGAATAACCACCCAAAGTTCGAAATATTAGACAATTTACAGATTTGATAAGCGTTAAAGTATTATAAGTTATAAAGTCAAAAGAAATCCTTTATGAATAACTCAGACATTATATAACCACCCAAAGTTGGAAATATTAGACGATTTACAGATTTGATAAGCGTTAAAGTATTATAAGTTATAAAGTAAAAAGAAACCCTTCATTAATAACTTAGACATTACCGGCATATAACCACCCAAAGTTCGAAATATTAGACAATTGACAGATTTGATGTGTTATTATAAGTTATAAAGTCAAAAGAAACCCTTTATGAAATTGGATGTCTTAAATTCATCATGATCAATAGGACCTCTCTTATTTTCTGTATCTTCAAATACAAAAGTTTGTACACGTTTACAGTCACACCTGCTTTAGAAACCACCTGTATAGAAAGATTACCTAAGTACCATACAGACTAAATTCTTTTGTTCCCTTGGAAATAGTTTTTCATTGAAACATGTACTTCTAAAGGGACATACATGTGCATGGAATGACAACCTGTCCAGTAAGACCAATATTGCCTTTCTATGCAGGTTTCGTTGATTTATGAATTTCATACAATTCGCAATAACATGAAATTATTAGCAATTAAGCCATCCACCAAGTAAGAATGTGAAATGTTATAAAGCCTCGAAGAGAGAACATAGAATTATGAAACTCAATGAAACTCACAAAATTTCCATGTCTCTCAAACTAAGAGGACTTTATTACCAAAAAAAGACAATAATTTTTCCAGTCACCATATGATAAAACAAATATGGTAGGAACATGATGAGCATGTGTATTAAACTATTAATTCCCTTTTTACCAAAATGCTGAAATATTATCGACTTTATACCTGGTCCTTTTGCCATTTTTTGCGGCACTGGCATGTTTGAATGAGATCATGAACAGATAGCATATGATTAATGTATGAAGCAGATCATGTGATGCAAAGTATCTTGATAATACTACATTTGAATGAGATTGTAAATAATATCACATGTTAATTGCGGAAGGTACTCTATGCCAGAAATTTAATTTTCCAAGCATTTATACTGTGACCAAACTCTAAAGGAGGAAGTAAAATATTCAAACAAAATAATTAAAAGCAAAAGATTGTTTAAAAAAGGAAAGATTATAATACTTAAGTAGGCCTAATGATAATAAATTATATACTGTGACAAAAGTAAATAGATGAATAAATAAATACTGACATTTGATCAATAACATAATTTTAGGAATATACTTTCTATAGATTTTTAAAATGAATATTTTCCCAAATTTCCCACTTGTAAAGGAATGGCATGCAATGCTGCTAGTATTGATAATAGTGCATATTTTTTTTTGTCCACAAGCAATGACAGCATATATGCCATATATATAATATATTCTTATTTTGGCTGCAAGCAAATCTGGTTTGAAGGAATTCTTGACTTACTTTCTGACAACACGCCTAAAAAGGGGAAATAGCAGAGGCTTTATTAATAGTTGTTGTGTTTCTACAATAAAGTACTTTTGAAAGACAAGAGGGAGTTTTTTCAATGATACTATTTAGAAAGCTGTACCTAAAAATGAGATGAAAGGAGAACATTTACAAAATCACACTCTAATAGCGATTTACTATTTTTAAAAGATGACAAACAGTTTTAACATTCAATTGATCTGCATCTGAAAGAAGTTTTTAATGTGATGGAACCATCTGAATTGCAAAATCATATGATTTCATAAAATTGAAAGGAGAAGAAAAAGAAGGTGAAGGTGAAGAAGAAGAAGAAGTGGAGACGGAGGAGGAGGAGGAGGAGGAGGAGGAGGAGGAGGAGAAGAAGAAGGAGAAGAAGAAGAAGAAGAAGAAGAAGAAGAAGAAGAAAAGGAAGATAAAGGAGGATAAGAAGAAGAAGAAGGAGAAGGAGAGGAGAAGGATGAACCAAGGGGGAGGAGCAGAAGAGGAAGGTGAAAAAGAAAAAGGTGAAGGTGAAGAAGAAGAAGAGGAAGAAAAAGAAGAAGAAAAGGAAGATAAAGGAGGATGAGAAGAAGAAAAAGGAGAGGGAGAGGGGAAGGATGACTCAAGGAGGAGGAGCAGAAGGAGAAGAAGACAAAGAAGAAGTAAAGGAAAAAGAAGAAGAACGAGCAGAAGGAGAAGAAGACGAAGAAGGAGAAGGAGGAGAAGAAAAGGAAGAAGAAGGAGGAGAAGAAGAAGAAGAAGAAGAAGACGAAGAAGGAGAAGGAGAAGAAAAAGAAGAAGGAGAAGGAGCAGAAGGAGCAGAAGGAGAAGAAGACGAAGAAGGAGAAGATAAAGAAGAATATCAATAATTACATGATTTGTTCATCTCTCTCCTTGTCCAACACCTTCATGATATAAGGATTTGGTTTGACCTCTAACTCCATGCACACATCCTCATATCGTGTCTGTACCGCAGCTGGATCCATCTCCTCTAATTGATTTCTTGTCCAAACTTTTTCCTGGATCTGAAGAGGCAAAATTCAAAAAAACATAAATTATTAGTATTATTATCACTATTATTCTCCCCCTCCCCCTTAATTGTGCCAGCCGTATAAGAGGTACCGTCTGTGTATGGGGAAGGTTGACAAACTTTAAATTATTAAAGAATTCCCCATACCAGACGGTTATTTCTGTCTAGACCTATATAAAAAATATCTAGACCATGCAGCTGCTAACGAACGGAGGCCGACTCTTAGCGGTAGCGGTGCCGAGTGTACCGGCCTGTCTTCATGCCAGAAACTGGTGCTGCAAGCAGTAACGCTGAAGCCGTGATCACGTACGTTTCAATTTCCAGCCCCACAAATCAACTGTGATATGCCTTCTGGTTAAATTACTATTAAAATGGTGTAATCAAAGTTTTCATTTAAATATCTACAAAGTTGTCATCAAAAATAAGCTTACTGAATGTTCTAAATATATGAAAATAGTTAAGATTCTTACCACGGTTTGCACAGCAGCAGCGTCTGTTGCCTAGTTTCGAAAAAGTCACTCAGCTGTGACGGAAAGTTCGTTCACCTTTGAGGAGACACATGTGTTTTGCTAAATCGCTGTGTTTTGGAAGAGAATTCACAAGTTGAATATCGCTAATATTAGTAATATTCAAACATAAGCTGACATGGGAAGACGAAAGTGAGTATTAAATGAAATATATGATGATTATCAATTCATAAATCTCTGTATGATGAGTGCAAAATGACTTGCTAGTTACAAAATTGAAATAGAATTTCCCAGCTCGGTCCCGTACCTTTACATTTGTGTATGTGTGATGGCTGAAAGAAAGAATTGTTCTTAATAAGTTGTTTAGACTTTAGTTTGTTAAACCAAATTAATGCACATTATTCCTAATTATTTGCATGCATGTAAGTCTAAAAAAAGAATAGTTTAATGCTAAAACATATGAACCTGTGAAATGTTGGATTGTTGGTCTTGAATTGCATGTGAATCGTGATTGACTGAGATGAGAGTGAGACTTTGTTTTATTATCATGTTTTCCTTTCTTTATAACTTGTCATGACTTCTGTTCCTTTCTTCTTCTTTTTCTTCAAATATTCAAATTTCCCTTCTCACTTCTCAGATCATTAATGAGTCTCTAGATTTAGTTACAGGACAAGATGAAGAAGCTTAATATGAAGTGATGAATTGCAAACAAAATTTGTTACATCATTTCCATTTATTTAGGCCCTAGAGCATCCTAGGGCCTAGGCCTAGATTTGTTTTCTATTTGTAAGATTGGAAAAAGGAAGAATTTAAGCTAAAGGTTCTCAATATTTTTTGGATCTCCAGAATTGCAGATGCATTTTGCAGATTTAGACCCCTATTATGACTTTCCCCCAAGGCAAGCAAAGAAAGAAAAAAAGTTCATAGGCCTGTCTTCATCAGCTCAAGATTGCCGAATATCCCGCTATTTGAACTATCCCAATCGCAAATTATCCAGTTAATTTGGGTCTTAATCAGCCCGAAGTTGCAATTAGCAGGATATTTGGTTGAGATAATCATCCCTTCCCAAGATATCTTGGGCTAGTTTGCCAAATATCCTGCTATTTGACAAAATATCCTGGTATTTGTCCAGTGCGTCTTCACCAGCCCAAAGACTCGCACTATGTGCGAATGCTGAGCAAAATATATCGAGCTCGAGTTTCGAGTTTTGAGGTCAAGCCTCAAGCTGATGAAGACAGGCCTCATGAGTCTGAAAATCTAACATCGTCATTTTGTCCATCTGCTAACAGGAAAGGTGGTGGTTCTCGCAAGAAGGCGGAGGAGTCTGACTATGACAGCGACGACCCAAGAGCATACGCCAAAGAGAAAGCACCAGACCCGTCAGCTAGAGACTACATTTATGACGAAGTGGACGAATTTCATGCCAACAAAGAAAAGATCTCCTTAGATGTAAGCAGGACTCTAGGACCCGCTGACAGCTCTGACAATGAGGTATGGTTAAAGGGAAATAAATACATCTTATGTGTAGAGGTGTCCTGGTCGAGTGGTTACGTTGACATGTATTAAACAGGCTAAAAAAATTGTGAATTTACCTGTATCGTTTATTTACAGATTTTACCATGTTCCATTCCGCTTTCATAATAGGGACTTTTAGATTTGCACGTCGACATAGTGGACTGCTATGTGTGACGTCCTTTTATTGCACTGTGACGTCCTTTTAAGGCACTGCCAATGCCTTATAAGGACGTCACATGTAGCAGTCCACTTTGTCGGTGTGCAAATCTAAAAGTCCCTAGTGTACTCACAAGTCAACCACTTTCATTCTGCTCTAGGAGGAAGAGGTTCTTGGTTGGGATGATGGAGATGATGAAGAGGAGGCCATCTTGAAGGAGAGGCTACAGCGCTTCAGGAGACAGGAGAAGATGGACGAGATGGCGAGCGATCTAGAAGACGAGGAGGACGATGAGGAGGGGGACGAGGATGGAGAAGGAGACGTCAGTTCCAAGGCTTGGGGAAAGAGGAAGCAGGCCTATTATGACACCGATTATGTGGATGATGACCTCCCAGGTGAGGCTAATAAGCTATTCCACTCTCCGATGCCATTACTCCTTTCCACCACAATCTTAGACTTGTCTTCTATCTCAAAAAATTGGTTTAATTGATCGAAAAGGTTTTATTATGACTGTACTTTGCAGCCAAATGGCTGAATTATTTACAAATTATATTAGCAATAATACATACAATTGTGGTAAAAAAAACAATAAGAACAAGATGCTGTTTGCACAAGGTATAATATTGATAACAAACTTCATGACCAACATGACTAGGGCTATGATGACATCTGACACAATTTGGCCTTAAGCTTTATAAAGATGTTTTGGTCTAGTGGATATTAGTCTCCGGACTGTGAACCGCAAGTTGCTGTTCAAATCCCTGCCGCGGCACTCACATTCTTTAGCAAGACATTAATCTATATTTGTCACGCTCAACCCAGGTGTAGTAAATGGGTACCTGGTTTGATTCATTCCTTGAATGGACTGAGCGCTACTAAGGTTGTCGGAGCTCAAGCTTGGATAATGATATCCAAAGCCCTTTAGAAGCACATTGCAACGTTATGTAATATCATAATGTGATATGCATTTTAGAACAACAAAATTGGGCCAACTTCAGATTTCAAGAGTGTCACTACTTTCATTTGGTGTTGGGCTAATTCGGACCAAAGACAACTCGGCCCAGTTGCAAAAACGGTCAGTTTTTGTAGGTTTGGGGTTGGAATTAGGGTTAGGGTTATGTTTAGGGCTAGTGTTAGAGTTAGGGTAAAATGACAAACACTGACTGTTTTTGCAGCTGGGCCGAGTTGTCTTTGGTCCGAGTTAGCCCAGATTTTTCATTTCTATTGAAAACAAAATGGATGCTTTTCATTTTCCTCCTACAAATGTTCCTGTATATCTTTTATGCCCCTGATAATTCTTGTAGGTTTGGATCAGTTGGAGGAGACAGCCAATCAAGAAGCAGAAGAGAAAGAAGCCCTGGCCATTCAGAACAGGATGGCAGAGGCATTACAAGATGATGACTTTGGTCTGGATATCTTTAAGGTATTCACAACATTTTCATTCTTAAAGGCATCATTTAGCAATATTAAATCTGAGATGCATGGCTATATATGTTATCAGTGTCTGGAATGTGGTGAAATATTGAAACCCTAAAAAAATTGCGCTTCAAAATGATCATGAAGTGCCTCAATTTTTTTTTTTTTGAGTGACCGGTTTTACCATACTTGTATTCCCCAATAGACTGTAGTGTTATAAATTTCCAATCTTAGATATCTTGATAGTCAGACAGGCGATCGGCTTGTAAAAGTCATGGGGTTCCTGACTGACCTAAAGGTTTATAATTATGATTGCAGCATGAGCTAAATCCAGGATTTTGTTTCAGAATCTGAATCACTTTACTAACAATATGAAGAAAAAAATTCCCCTCAACACCCATTTGTGATTATGGTAATGTTATTTATTTTTCAATATTATTTTTTCATTTTGCATGCCAACAAATGGTCTTAGTGAATAAGTACAAGTGCATAATATCAGCATTAATAAATGAGTTCTGTAAGTAGTGTACCGTTAAGATATTTAGTATGAACAAATGTAGTTTCTCTATAAAGTTATTTGTTACAATTGTTCAGTATAATGCTACCAATGAAATTGTACCAGTGCAACGGTAGAGGATAACAGCATATTATTATGAAATAATATATCTAGAGAGGTTATAGTTTATTTATGCACCATATTTTTACTTTAATACACATGTTTTATTTGTATGATTGGTTCAATTTGAACAGAGCAGTGACAGGCAGGTCGAGAAGACAACCTCCGGTGACCTTGAGAGTGAGGAGAAGGTCACCAAAGATCTCAGCAAGCTGTCAAAGAGAGAAAAGCTAGAGGTAACAAAATCCATTCCATACCATATATTTCAATATTGACAAATCAATCGTAAAGTGTATTTTGTGTCTGAATATGTAATGAGTCTTTTAATTGTACACATGACTAATTCAGCCATTGGGCTGCAACACATGTTTCTAATAAACCTTGAATAGAATTGAATTGAATTATATTGATTTGAAAGAAGGGAAAGAGGTATTATGGTTCTATCAGAGCATTAGTAGTTGAGTTTGAAGTGCATTGTGAAACGTGTATACAAACATATTCTGATTGTCATGAGTTTCTTTATTCCAGCCCAGTAATGCAACATCTTGCTATAGTATTGTTCTAAAGAGAATTGAATGGAATAATTTCTTTTTTTGTTGCAATTGTGCAATTCATAATCTTGATATGATAAATAGCAAATGAATGTCATATTTGTTTGCCATATATCTTGATCATATGTGATTAAAGAATTATAATTATACATTTTTAAGTTTAACTTGAATGATTGATTTATGAAACAGTAACAAATCTAATTTGTATTCATGTCATATGTCTTTGCAGCTTTTGAAAAAAGAATCACCAGAATTTTTACAACTTACAGCAGATTTCAAAGTAAAGGTAGGAAAAATGGAATGTACACAAAATAACATGCTCTCTCTCTCTCCCTGTGTCTCTGTCTCTGTTTTCGTCTGTCTGTCTGTCTGTCTCTCTCTCTCTCTCTCTGTTTCCGTCTCTCCCTCTCTCTCAAAAAAAAAAAAACGAGGGTATTTTAATATGCATAATATTGGAGATTGAAGTAAGATGAAATGTTGATCAAAATAATTCCGGATATATATCACAGATTGTTTTGCACAATTTAAGCTTTTTGATTTTTTTAAACCCAAATGTTAGAATTCCTTTTGAGCTTTTAACGTTGTATTCCTTTTCTCTCTTTTGAGTAGTTAGAAAATAATATCAAATCCTGTTTCTCTCCTTAATAAGATGCGTTGATAGATCGTCTCTAAAAATATAATACTCCCTTTGAGCTTTTAACGTTGTATTCCTGTCCTCTCTTCTAAGTAATTAAAAAACATGAAATATCCCTGCTCTTTCCTTAATAAGATGTGCAAGTTTATAGATTGTCTCCAAAAATATAAACTCCGTTTAGGCTTTTAACGCTGTATTCCTGTCCTCTCTTTTGAGTAATTCAAAAATAAAATCCTGTTTCTCTCCTTAAAGGTAAAGACCAGTATTGGGAATGCCCCAATTTCAAAAAATGAAATGGAAGCTCTTATTACCAATCATGTGAAAGAATATGTTTTGAATATTACATGATGATAAAAATTTTGACGGGAAACCCCCTACTAATTGATATATTTGGTAAATTAGTATATCTCTTGCCTGTTGAGAGATATGAAATGCACATGTCGCGCACGTGTGTGTAGTCCCATATACAGAGTACATCTTTCTGTGTACAGTGCTTCTAACTTTATGAAGACTTGGCCAAATTTCTTATCATTTTGATGATTCCAGAACCTTGCAGTACATCTATGCTAGATGATCAACCTTTTCTGATCGATTTCACAACGTTTCTTTCACAATGCAATCGCATGACCATAATTGGTCTTTAGCTTTAATAAGATGCCTGAGTTGAAAGATCGTCTCCAAAAATATAATACTCCCTTTGAGCTTTTAACGCTGTATTCCTGTCCTCTAAAAAAAAAAATCCTGCTTCTCTCCTTAATTAGATGCGTGAGTTGATAGATCGTCTGCAGCCTCTGGTCGCTCTCATCAAGAGAGGAGATGTGATCCAGGAAGGGTCTGAAGGAGCCCAGTATATCCACACCAAGTACCAGCTCTATCTCAGGTAGGGTAGGAGTAGGCAAGGCCCGCCCAGCTCCGCCATCTCGTATCTTGACATTTGAATACAATCTGAACATGCCCAGAGGGCCATCGATCTTTCGGTTAACACGAAAATGCAGCAAACTTGTATGAATCTTTTAGCTGCGCAGCCAACAATGCGCTAAGATCAATTGAGTGGATTTTTATCACTTTAGGTTGATAATGAATTAGAAAATAATAGTGAGAAATTTCTTATATGGAGCATACATCACTCCCAATCTGTAATATACACACTGTAGGCCTTGAAAGTTCAGTTGAAACAGGAGCGGTTCCATTTTAGTTCCTACAGTATTATTCATTGTGTAAGCTGCTTCTTTCCTTATACATGCTTTGCATGTAACATGACAATTCACCATAAAGCATGCTTAAAAGACATGAGATTGCGCATTCATATGTATCAAGCACATATTCTTAGAATTCTTTGTATGTATCTCATAAAATATTTGTGTCGCTTAATAATTCATTACAATAACTAATACTGTAAATGTGTAATGACATGAACCATAAGATTGCAGACAATGTAAACTGTTATTCCTACTAACATGCTCTCAGGGTGAAATATCACAAAAGTAAGCTGGCTTTTTAGCACGTTATAATAATAATAATAATAATACTCTGCTTTTATAAAGCGTGAATTACTATTAAGTCTCTAAGCGCTTCCAAACTTGGAGATTATTACCCCGGCTTTAGCTGGGCTGCCATTACGGCGCTTTAGCATTACAAGGAATTAATTCCTGCCAGGTACCCATTTACATCACCTGGGTGGAGTGTGGCAAATGTAGATCAATGTCTTGCCAAAGGACATTAAGGCCGTGGCAAGACTCGAACCACGGACCTTGTGATCGACAGTCCAGCGAAATAACCACGACACCTTATAGATTTTATTACTCCGGTCGTCATGTTCTTACCTGCATTTAATCCACTCTCTTTACAGCTACTGCATGAACATCAGTTTCTACATGATCTTGAAGGCCAAACATGTTCCAGTAGCCCATCATCCTGTTATTGGAAGAATCCTGGCTTTTGGAAAGGTAATAATGGGACTTCTAGTAATTATGTACCTAGTGTATTCCTTTGTTGTGAGTTTACAATAAAAAAACTCATAATGCATATTGATTTCAAAGAATGGAAATTGATCCTTAGAACCTGTCCGCACTAGTTTGGCCAGGGGGGATTAGACCTCCTTGCAAGGTCACTGACAGGTGGTTATCGCATCAAATCAGCAGTAACTTAACATAAGACAAAAGGGGGTCATGGGGGACCAACAGGCACTGATTAGGCATTCTTTGCTATATAGAGGGCACAAGTCGCAATACGTAGTGCAGTAGGGCTTTAAAGCAGAAAATTTGGGAATCTGAATACTGAAACTGTAATAGTGTGAGAGGTTTAAACTATGTGTTGAAATACCTTTCTAGTGGGAATTCAGCCCTAATTGTGCGTCTTCTTGACAAAATGTTGGCTTTGGAGGGGAAAAAAAACGACCTTTTTCTAGTTAAAAAGAAGGTTGGAAACGCTGCAAATCCTTAATCCAATTTGTATTGGGTCCAACTATTTACTTTTAATCTTTGCGCTGTGTATATCATTATCTCCTCTCTTGCAGCTAATATCTGAATTGCAACCGGTTGATGAGAAGTTAGCAGAGGAGATAGAATCCGTCCTGAGCCAAGCAGATGAAGTAGAAAAGGAGAACAAACAGATGAGTGCAGCTAAAGAAGAAGAACTTCTTCTTTCTCAAGAAAAGATGGACAAGAAAAAGAGGAGTAAGTTGTGTTTCATGTCAAATAAGCATATCAAAAGTTGAATAAATCTTGAGTTGCAGGAAATAGATTATAGGACTTTTATATTTTTTTAGAGAAGGGGTCAACATATATTCATTGAATTTAATATTCATTCCTGTATGTGGTCATTACTTTTTTTGGATTAGCAAACCCCAAAATAACTTTTCTGGGCCCCATCTTATAAAGACTTAAAGACTCCTCTCAATTAATCACAAGGGTACACTTTCCTATCTGTTTTGTACGCAGTTGCGATTGATGTAGATTGCAAGTAAGTTGTGATTAATTGCAACTGTTTATAAGATGGGGCCCAGAAGTTTACTTTCTGCTTGTTTTTTTTCATTTTAGAAAGGAGGAAACAAGAAGACACAATCACTATGGAAGAAGAGTCAGCATTACCCAAAGTAAGTGTTTTGATTAAAGCCTCACTTATTCCTCGATTTTGTATGGACACATGTCCTGGAAGTGAAAAATGTCTCTCTTTTGTCTGTCTTTTATCTGCAAGTATAATTTGGTAAATTATTTCTATATTATATACATGAATAGTTGAGGGTTGAAGTTTGTTTGTTTGTTTGTTTTGTTTTATTTCCACTTTTTCATATCAATACAAAGAAACATACAAATAAATATGATGAATAACATGTAAGTTTGACAAAATTTGTTTCTAGTTAAAATAAAAGTTTCATACAAAAGGAAAAGTTGATAAGAATTTGATATGGCGTTACTTAACCTTAGACAATGGAGCAATCCTCTTAATCATAGTTTCAACAGATCACCTAAACTCCACTGATATGGGATCGAAATACACTTCTCATTCATGACTGGATGTAAATTTCATTTGTCATCTTAGAAAAAGAAGAAGGGCCTTGCATCATTGTCAGAAGAGGAGCTGAAGGCTCTAGAATACTACAAGGCAATGGAGACTAAACAGAGAGAGAAGAAAAAAGAGCAGGCTGCTATGGGGTAAGTAAAGTCTATCATCAATTTCAAAATAATCAAAGGATAAACTTCGGTACATTAAGTTTTTGGAGCAGCATATTTCCAGATGATCTCTTACAATTAATATCAAAAGACATTATAAACAAGAAAATGTCCCACTCCCTGCACTTTAAAGTGATTTACTCTAAATTGATTAAAGTGCTCCATTGTTTTCCTTCCCATGTTCATTGTTTACATTAGGAACGCACCCTGTACAAATATGTCTAATTCCTGTGAGTGCAACAAGATACCTTTGTTTCCATATGCTCCCTTATATTAAAAGTCTTTATAAACAAGAAAATGTCCCACTCCCTGCACTCTAGAATGATTTATTTTAAAATTAATTGAGGTGCTCCATTGTTATCCTTTCCTAGTTTATTTTTTACATTAAAAATGCACCTTGTACTTGTATGCCTAATTTTTGTGTGTGCAACAAGATACCTTTATTTCCATATGCTCCCTTATATCAAAGACTTTATAAACAAGAAAATGTCCCACTCCCTGCGCTGTAGAATAATTTACTTTAAAAAGAATTGAGGTGCTCCATTGTTTTCCTTTCCATGTTCATTGTTCATATTCATTGTTTACATTGGTAGTGCACCCTGTTCCCTGTACATTTATGTCTAATTTCTGTGTGTGCAACAAGATTGCTTTATTTTGGGGTGTTGATAACACTGTAAAAAACATAACTTCTGAATATTCAAGGGGTGTGATGTTGAGAGAAAATCTCAGACTGTCTCAATTATTATTTCTTTATAACATTATTTTCTGATGATTTGATGTCTCTTTCTTTGGACAGAGCTTTGGAGGAAGATGGTGAAGAGGAGGAGGGAGAGGGAGATGGAGATGAGAAGAGAGCCATCACCTACCAGGTATGATACCAGTTCATCTTTGATGTTCAAGTTCAAATTTTATTTCAATTCAAATCCATACTAAACACATTTTATGAAAGTATACAATACAGATTATATACAAAATGGAAAACATAGAACACACACAAAGTGGAAACATGTCTACAAATACACCGGAATTATACAAAGTTAATCAATAGAAATGAATTGGGGAAACTGCAAATAAAACCGTAAGGTTCTGTCGAGGCAGTCCCTGTTATTAGAAGTTGTTTGATGGTTGTTTTACTTGACTGCTAAGAAAGCTTGTATAAGCTTGTTAGTAAGCAACCAGGGGACCAACAACTTTAAGCCCTCTCTGGACTTGGTAATGAGGATTAATGCCTTACCAAAGGGCACCAGGGCATCGACTTGGTTTCTATTAAACCCGGGACCTCCCGGTTACGAGACAGTTTATAGTTTTACTTAAGTCTTTCTTAGTTGTTGTTCAGTTGATGACATCTTACCTTCACTTTATTGTGTGTTGTTTGCTACCAAAGAACCTTCCTTAAAATCCAATTTTTTTTCTTCTTCTTCAATGTCTTAGTTGTAAAATATCTTTGTACCATTTATCTGTATTTATTCCATGCCCCAGGTGCGACAGTTTAAGAAATAAAACAAACATTTCAAAACCTTTCAATGGAGTTGTAGAGTTATTGCTTTTTATTAATCACACCTATGTTTCCTTCTCTATCATCCCAGATTTCTAAGAACAAGGGACTGACGGCCTACAGGCGGAAGGAGCTCAGGAATCCAAGAGTGAAGAATAGGATGAAGTTCCGCAAGGCCAAGATCAGGAGGAAGGGACAGGTAAAATCAACTCAGATTTTTCATTTTCTCATATCTATTTATTGATTACCGGGTAGTTCATTGATTGATAGATGTTTGTTTATTCCTTATACATCAACATATTTACATTTACAATCTTATAACTTTTGATGTATGATAATGACATGGTTTATACAGAAAAGGGGTCGTCTTGAGCATAAGCTTGAAGTGACATCCTCTAGATAATGAAAATAATTATATATACAATATAAGGCGATGCATGAAAATTAGGAGAGGAAGGAAGAAAGATAGAAAAGGGGCATAGGAAGGGAAGGGACAGAAAGGACTATTGCCATAGTGTTGGTGATCCGATGCATTCTCTGATTACAATTGCTCTGAGATTTATTTCGTAAACAGGGTTAGGGTGAGCGTTACTTACGATCGGGTTTTAGGTTAGGCTCATATTTCTCTGTCGTGTCGGGCACAGCATTAAAGTCAGGAAGTTTGCAAGTGTAATGAATTACTGCAGAGCAAGTTTCTTTTCCTCATATTTATTGCCAGAATGTCAGTTGTGACAATTGCTCTGGAATTTAATTTTTTGTAAAGATAGAGAGTAAGGGTGATGGTTATGACTGGGTTTTAGGTTAAAGTCGTTTTCTCGATAGTGTTTTAGGCTTAGCATTGACATTAGGAAGTTGGTAAGAGTAAACAATTACTGCAGAGCAAATGTGGCCAGACCAAGGGCTGTACAGCCCATATTGGTGCTTAAATTCTGCTCACTTGCAAATTTTCCTGCCCATCATTAGGGACATAACATTTGTAATCTGAGATGTTTTGTATTGCGGGTCTGTGCTATATGTTATGAGTCATGCGGCAGTATCTTTAGTCGAATTGTAAGACCGTGTGTATTCTATAATATACAGAAGCTTCAAGGGAGAGATATCTTCATAACCTACCTGTAACTCCCAGTATTGTAATTGGCTTGATAAACATATGCGTGTTCCATATACATCTGATATATGTCTCAATTCTGCTTCCCCTTCTCTCTCTCTCTCTCTCGTTCACTCTATATCCCTCCCCTCTCTATCTTCTCCATGTCCGTTTTCTTTTCCCTCTCCTCTTCTTTCCTTCTCTCTTTTCTTTTTCCTTTCCTCTCTCTATTTCTCTCCTGTCCTTTCCTGGCATGTTCATTCCTCACTCTTTCCCCCGGCTGTTTCTTTTTATATCTGTACATCTCTTTTTATCACTAACCCCATCCTCCTTTTACCCCTCTCCTTCTGCATCTTACAGGTACGAGAGACAAGGACAGAGCTACATCGGTACGGTGGAGAGGCATCAGGGATCAGGGCTGGGGTCATCAAGAGTGTCAAGATTAGATGAGATTATCTTAATCCCTTCAACTTTGAAGAATAGACAACAATCAACCCTGTATTTGTGGCCACCTCTCTATAAAAGCCATCTAGCTATAGCGGTCATACATTTTGTCTCCTTCAAGAAAGAAATGTGTATTAAAGAACTTGTCTAGAAAGGCCACCTGTCCACAGTGGCCACTTTTTCTGTTACCCTTGGGTGACCTTTATAGACAGGGTTGACTGTAGTTCATAAATACATGCATATCAAATTTTTAGGACACTTCACCCACAGCCTACTTATGAACTACTACATTCACTCATCACAAGTTATAGTTCAAAATTGACAATTCAGATTGCATGTAGTTGTTCTTGCTATGTCAGGCAAGCATCTTGTAAGCTTTAGATTCATCTCTAGCATATGCATAACATTTGAAATACATTTGCTATAATATAAGGTCTATTCAATTGCATTCCGGTCCTATATAAACGTACACATTTTAAACTTGTATGGTAAATTTGTATGACTTACACGTTGGCGACTAAAATCATGAAAAATTATTGATATATAAATTTTTCTCCAAGAGTCGTGTTGTGGCTCAAGTTTTAACTCATGGATGTGATAATGTAAGTGTTGCTCTAAACACAAACCTTTTTTTTTTTAGGGGGGGGGGGTGATTGATGATGTCTTCCATTAGGGGTAAAAGTTTGGTTTTTGTCACCATGTGACTTCACAAATGATTACTTTGTAGGTAAATTTCAGTAAAAAAATTTCCAAGATGAGATTCATTTGTTGCTTTATTTTTTTAGAAATAAGGGAAAGGTTTTTCTCAGGTGAGAAAGCAAGCTATTATCATTACATGAAACAGGTAGCCAGCCAACTAGTGCTAGTACGATGGTTTCATGAAACGATACCCTGGACATCTTTTTATCATCTCTTTTTAATTTGTTTTGTTTACCTGGTGCAAATTTTATTTGAAAAACACATGAGACATCTGTCCCATTTGTAGAGAGCAGTGGAGTACAGTAGCCTCTCTCCACGCTAATAAAAATAAACCAAATAAAGCCAGATTTTAATGTTACTGTTATTTGACTAAATAAACTGATAAAAATATGTTCTGTTAACAGCAAGACAAAGGACAAGTGAGAGTATTTTGTACATTAGTTCATGTCATTGTTTTATGCATGTACAACACTGTAATATGCAACACTTCATAAAATTGTTGCTTTTGTTTTGAATTTAGATGAAAAGGAAAATAGGAAGAGAGTCAGAAAGAAAGCATGGTAGAGATGGTATAGAGAGAGAGAGATGGTAGAGAGAGAGAGATGGTAGAGAGAGAGAGATGGTAGAGAGAGAGCGAGATGGCAGAGAGAGAGAGAGAGATGGCAGAGAGAGAGAGAGAGAGAGAGAGAGATGGTAGAGAGAGAGCGAGAGAGAGATGGAAGAGAGATGGCAGAGAGAGAGAGAGAGAGAGATGGTAGAGAGAGAGAGAGATGGTAGAGAGAGCGAGAGAGAGATGGAAGAGAGATGGTAGAGAGAGCGAGAGAGAGATGGAAGAGAGATGGCAGAGAGAGAGAGAGAGAGATGGTAGAGAGAGAGAGAGAGAGATGGTAGAGAGAGAGGAAATATAGATCAGACATTAACATGTTCATTGGTCTTCTAAAAAACTAACAACTACAATAAATTTACAATAATCAATTTCAGAATAAACAGTATATAAAAATTGTATTAGTTCAGCTTGGATGTAACACTATTTGTGGAATGCAAGCCTACAGTTAAAAAGAAACGAAACTACTTTGAACAAAATATTAATAGTTGGAGAAAAAGTCCTATGAAACGTACACACTTATAATTCAGTTGGTGAAGCTGAAATTTGTCCGTTTTATAGCAGAAGATAGAGGTCGCACTTTGCAATAACCATAAATAAACATAAGAAACTTACAAATAACATGATACTATAAAAACTATACATGTATTAAAACGAAAGTGTGTGGGCAAATAACTGCGAATTAGGTACTGTTTTAAGATATTGAGAGAGAAAGGTGCCTAGCTGCTCCATGTTGCCAAGCATGATAACAATCTCCTTCTTGGCATAATACACAAGATTGATCAAAGATGGGTAACTTGTAGAAATGTTAAGTACAGCAAATTTAATAAAAATAAATTGAATTAAAAAACCCACAACAAAACAAAGGTGGAGGGTTTCTGAATGGAAGGGATACATCATACACAAGGAGGTTGATTTGAAAACTAGCATACACAGTACACACTACAGTGACTTCCAAGTTCCAGAGTCAATTTCAGGTCATATTCTTCACTTCAACCCAGAACCCTACATGCCCCCATACTATACCTATGTTGACCTAACCCTAACCCTAAACCCATTTGGTTAATAATGGGGCTATTCTGTTGGAAATAAAACTCGATCAAACCAAGTCTTGTGTACATGTACTCTTAATAAAAAACATGTGCATTCCTAAACTCCTATAGAGCACCAAGGTGTGCACGTCATATTTGCTCGTTGTCAAGGTTACTGGTTCTTAACAACAGAGCCTGCACATGAGGTTCACCAGGAAATCATTTAAGAAACGGGCTGGAGCAAGGCAAATTCAGTGTTTTGGGCTGTTGTGATCACGACACTACGTCACACTTAAATAAAGCCCAGAGCAAATGTCAGATATGTCCATAAGTTAGAACACCGCAAAATTCATTAAATGACATTAAATCAACTACAGATCTTGTTGAAAACCCGTTTACTCAAACACACACTGAAAATGGCCTGGCAGATTGATCTATAGGACGAATTGGGCAACTGTCCAACAATTTGATGAATACATGCATTTGTACAAGAAATTGAAACAAATCATTATTGTCCTTCTTTTTGTACAAAACCTATAGAGATACATGTGTTGTATAAGTATAGACTGCCAATAAGATTAATCATAAAAACATAATAGACAGGACCCTGTTTCACAAAGGCCCCCTTTTTTTTTAATCAGTAACAAGTTTCTTTAACAAATTTGCTCACAGCCGATCAAATGAAGCAATTTCAGTAGCTTATAATGGTTATTATAACTTATAACTGGTTACATGAAATGGTGCCCAGGGCCCCGTCTTACAAAGAGTTGATATCAATCGCAACTATGTATATAAGAGATGGGAGACTGCAAACTTGCCATTGATTGGAGGACTTGTGATTAATTTGGATCAATCGTAACTCTTTGTGAGACTGGGACCTGATCTGGCAAAACATGGCTGATTGGTCTATCCACCACTAAAAACTGCTTGCATGATCTTTGAATGTAGAAAATTACCTGTATGACTCTACCGCCGCAATGACATGTCTGGATACAAGTCATTTGGGTTTTTCAGGCATGAAATGACATCAAACACAGACGAGAGTCATTTTTTAATTTAAACAACATATGCTTTATGCTGAGTGAAATATTAGCCAATGTATGTATTTAAACTTGGTTAAATTCCTCTTTATTTGTAAGTTTTGTAACCTGTAATTTGTACAGGGCCACATTACTGAGAGGGTTACCCTGTTTAGATAAAAATGAATTAAAAACAATTTCTTTTCTTTTCTTAAAGAGATGATAAAACAAGAAACAAAGAAATTTAAAAAACAATATCACACACAAACGGTGTAAATTTGATTGAAACAACTAATGACATGTGCCGAGTCAAATATGAGCCATTTCAAAATATTTAAAAAAATCTCAAGAGACAATGACATAATAAACCCAAACAACAAGGAATCCCTTCTAAGATATAAATGCTTCTGGTATTAATCACATTACTGTTACAAGGTACAAAGTGACGATAATAACGAGTAGCTATGAGCGTTTGCTTCACAATTCCATGAGATAACCAGCTGGACACAAACAAGACAATATTGCAAGCATTGATTTACCCATAACAAGATTTTCTTTGGTTATCTAAGGCTCTAGGTGTGCATGTCCACACTGAAACAAAATATATTATATATGGATGAAAACTTTAAAACGTTGCTTCTGCACAACATACAATAGATTAATCTTGTCATCTTATAAGGTAGCTTAGCGAAATGAAGTGGCACGTAACACAAAATGCGTAATTGATGCAAATCCATCATTTTATGGTATACATGTAGAGGTAGAACCACATTGTCAGAATATAGAGCTGGTAAAAACATGAACTATCTTGATTACGCTTGATGGCCCGAATTCACAAAGGAGGTTCGTTGACAAACCTAGGTTTATGTGAGTCAAAACGCGTCATATGACGCACATAAACCTAGGTTTGTTGACAAATATCCTTTGTGAATTCGGGCCAATGTGTATTAAAATTTCATTCAGATAGGTAAAAAAAGAACCTTTAATTCACAAACATCATGAAATATTATGCATTTAGCGTTCCGAAAGCGCCTTTTCATGCCACTACGTTCTCTAAGCTATGTAATAAAACAACAAAAGGAGAGTGTATGCGGTGCAATGATTAACAGTCTTTAACTTGTGTTGCAAAATGTATTTGAGAATGTGGTGCAAACATGCAACACTAACAAAAGTTCAGTGAACTTATGTTTATTATAAATTGTTGGGAACGGTTGGAATGTGTCACAAATACTGGTCCGTAAATAAAGAAACTTTCACCATATGAAACTTCTGTGATTAGTAACTGACAGGGATTTTCACGGCAAGAAGCTTCAAGAATTGCACAACTCATTGTTGCGTCAGTTGTGATTCCATCACTTTGCTGCATGAAAGTTTCGGGAATCTCAACAACTTGCGAAATTCGCAACCATTTCATATGTGCGTAAGTTTCCAGTGATGAGGTATTGCCAAAGGAAAACTGATGACAAATAAAATTAGTTTAAGACCAAAGCCTCAAACTCCACAAAATAAATAGTAAGGCTGCACAAGTGATGGTACCTTATGTGCTGGGTACCTAGATATCTAGATATTAGAGCCACCACTGTAACTCTTTTAGAATAAAAACCGTATAAACCTTCATTTCTGAAGGGACCAAGGGATATGCCGTCTTTATTTTTTTTTTTTAATTGTTTAAAACATATTGGTTATTTTTCTGACTTGCACCAATCTTTCCTCATTTTGTCTAAGGTTCTATACAAATTCTAATACCACATTTCCAAGTATAAACGCATGAAAAATCATTACTTATACTCAAGACATCTTTAAAAACTCCATCAGGACGTTCAATTAAAGTTGATATACCTTAGTGTCAATTTGCATTACGCTTTGGTCATCCGCGGCAGTGAGTTGGTCAAAATAACCCGACCGCTTTTGGGGTAAATAAAACACATACATAACGTGTAATAATAAACAACCCAAGATCAATAATTTTTTTGTGAATAGCATAATGCTGTTGGGGTTTAAGATAAAGTTGAGTTCTGGTCATGCAATTACATTGTGAAATAAAGTTAGAGCAATTGGGAAAAGGATGATTATGAAGTACATGTACATCAGAATTTGTGTATACTGTGAGGTTTAGGAATCATCAAATTGATAAGAGATAGACTCGATCTTGCTGGAAGTCACGTGCACTGCACAGAGAAACGGGTTTATGGGACTACAAACATGTGTGGCATTGAAGCTTGGTCCAAACTTTCCTGCTAGTTCCTATCGTAATCTGAATATGAGAAAATTTGAAGAAGAATCCTATACAGGGGACATTTCTACTTTGCAAATTATTTTTCAACTTTACCAGAACCCAACTTTTTTTTTGAAATAGCAGTTGGAAGCACTTGACTCGCTGAGATACTAACGTATCAGGGGAGGAAAACTCAAAGACACTATCAGAAACAGGATATATCAAAACTTGTAACAAATTATCGGAATGAAATCCTGACGCCGAGGACACTGTTCACACTCGCGAGTGGGTCACCGTTTTGGAACCGATACTGACTTTGCAAAGAGGCCCATCATGGCTTTGTTCACATTGCCTCCATTTTTCCTGAGTTCCTCGAGGACTTGATCCCGCAGGTAGCCCATGTCGACGAGCTTCTTGACGTCCGCTTCGGGGAACATTCGAGAGGCGGCAGCGCTTGAGGATGAGGATGAAGACGGTGAGGGGGTGGAGCCCGATGGTGACCCTAAGATCCTGCCAGAGCCTGATGTTGAAGGTCCATCTAAAAAAAAAAACATTGAGATGAAAATTAATTAGGTGCTCACTGAATGTGAACATAATCGACCATACAATTTTGTTGGGATCACCCTTCTGGTATGTGTGTGTGAGTAGTGGGTTTTTACAGACGTGTATCAATCAGATATGATTATTTATGTCTGGGGACTGACCTTTAAATGTCACCATCCGAAAGACCTGACTCAGTTTTGAACCGGCGTCCTCGGCTGAATCAGTTTATAACTTCCATTGTTAGCTGGATTACAGGCACACGCCACAAAGCCCTGTTGATTTATCCCAGGGTAGTCATTAGAAATGCTAATTAACTGCACGCTTATTTCCCTATTCTGCTATTCTGACGACAGACACCTTGACATTTTTTAATTTTGGAGGAGCCGGATTAAAATGGTAAGATTTGCGATTTTTCTGTAGATACTCTGGCTAAATATGACATTTTGTAAGCAATCTCGAGAAAAGCTATGCTCATCACTTTACAGATATGCACACATATTACAATTAGATAAATTACATTACCAGTACATCTAGTAGATTACATGACTATGCAGATTTCAAAGCCACACTGCACTACTTATAGCTACTTGCTCCCTCTATATAACAAGCAATGCATAATCGATGAACATTGGTCCCCCATGATCCTCTTTTTCTTATGTTTATTGAGAGCTGATTTGATGAGATAACCACCTGTCAGTGACCTTGCAGAGTAGTCTAATCCCTCCTGTTCACTAGTATTGATGGGCTTTAATACATGTATTACACTGATGCTACAGTATGTACATTTAATTACTACGGTATGTCCATCACAATGAAGTGCATTATCCAAGTACAATACTTTGTAAATAGCTATGTGCACAAGTCTAAGGTACTTGTCCTGTACCTTATTAACATCACCAAAGGTTTTTGGTATTAGGTCAACAACTATCAACCAAATAACAAGGAAAATGACACCTGCAAAGCTATTATTTGTTTATTCTTCTTTCATTCTTATTATCATTCGGGACAGCAAATATCCAAATACCTTTGGATTATCTTATTAAATTTGTATTTATTGATTCAAACATAAAATAATATCAAATAAAACAATCACAGTGTATCAATTTAAAACAGTAAATAAAAGTATGGTTAGGAAGACCGAAAAGCAAAATGCTTGTAACATGGTATCCCAAAAGAAGAAAAAGTGAAAAACATTTAAAGATTTAAAATAATCAAACAAGACTACATACATTATCACACACACACACACATACCCTCACAGATAAACTCACACACACATGCCTAGGGCTTCAATTTAAAATATAAAATATAAAGGGTGGGGGGGGGGGGGGGGGGTCACATATACATTTTTTATCATATATATGAATATAACCATAACATTTCATTAGAGGGAGCCTAATAACATACCTGATTCTGCAGCTGATTTGGCTAGTGCCTCTGCTAGATGCCTGTCTTCTGCCTCTCTCATGTCCATAGGCACCCCTTGGCTGTTACGGTCTACTACCGGTATGTCGGCCTCGCTGAGGAATGGCGTCTCCGTCCCTGTGGTTCCTATGACCAGGCAGTTCCTCTTTAGGTCTATACAGCACTGTAGGAGGGAAGATGATCAAGTCAAATAATTATTTATGTAAAATAATAAAAAGCTGTTTTACAGCCAAGATCATGGGGGGGGGGGGGGGCCTTAGAAGCCCCCTCCCCCAGGCTTATAGGGTTAAGCACATGGTGTTGGGCCTACTTACCTGGATTTCCTTATCTTTCTATGCTCATTACTCAGCCACTATACATTTTCGACCAAAATTGTTTGGCACATGTCATTTATTTGTAATCTTGAACATTTAGTGTAAGTTTCGTTGGATTCTGTGAGAATTTATTTTCTTTATTTACCAGAACTCAAATTTATCTTTCACAGTGAAACTTTTGCTACAAAATGTGTTTTTACAGCCAAACCCTTATACTCTAAGAATGGTCCTTTGAAAGGTTACCTGATGTCTTTTGAGCATATCGAGACCCAGAAGCATGTCCATAGGTTGATCTTCCAGGATTGAGAACGATGATTGAAGGTGAATACCACCAATCTGAATCTGACCTGCACAAAGGTAACACAACAAATCACTCTGAAATATAGTTTGAAAACTTCTGCAAAGCTTGAACAACATTTCATCTAGTCTTTAAAGCCTGTCTTCACTACTTGTAGCTACTTGCGGCCTCTATATAGCAAGCAATGCCTAAGCGGTACCCGTTGATCCCCCATGATGTTCTTATGTTATTGAGAGCTGATTTGATGAGATAAATACCTGCCAGTGACCACTCAGGGAGGTGTTATCCCTCCTGGTCAAACTAGTGCAGACAGCCGTCATTGCTCTTATTCTTATCCATGACATTTCTGCCCTTTTAGAACCTAAACTTGCTATGAAGGTAATTTTAGACCCCAAAATGTCTGAAATTTAGCCAATACGATCATACCAATTCAGCTCCACTTTCAAAAAAATATAGTGACCGTTAATTAACTATTCAATTAAAAATAACAATACATGGACCGGCTTGTTGTGGTTAATATAACTAATGCGAAAATGCCAACAAAAAAAGCCAACATCGCCATTGGCTGAAATATGAAGCAAAAGGCGCTATTTCGTTTTTTCAACAGTTTTTCAAATTATCTAATATTTGTGGTGGTACACAAGTATTAGAAATCGTTATATTTATGGATATTTCAGCCGTCTCTGAACCGATTTTGATCATATAAAGATGATTTTGTCATTTAAATTGTATGTTCTTTCAAATTTGACACTCAGTTTTTCATTATCTCACACAAAAATTATTTTGTGTAGCGCCCTCTGCAACAGAACTCAACTATCCCTTTAATTGTACTTCACTCTATATAAAAGCTGAGTATTATTATTATTATTCATGAATGTGACAGGACTGGACATTTACCACCCCAAAACCATGTCATGATAAATCTTACCTAGATGTACCCTGCCGATGATCTTTTGTGTGCCGACGCCCTTGGCCACGCCCGCCCATCGTTTATCTACCAGTCTCATGATATTACACCTCTCAGCACAAGCCTGACTCATGATAGTCATCTGGGCTCCTGAAAAGAGTAAAGCAGGGATGCTAGTTAAAATTGATCAGAGGGCCAGAAAATCACCTAGAATGAGCTATTTTGTACACAAAAAACATAAACTATGACCTGAAAATAAGTCATCAGGATTTTGCCTGAAAACTGGCAGTAAAGACACATACTAAACATCGATTTTTCCATAGACTTTAAAAATACACAAACTAATGCAAAAAAATAAAAAATTTGAGATAAAGAAATTATAGTTCATTTATGAAGGCATGGAGCAGATCATGACGGAAGCAGTGCTTGGGGCTATAGAGCTAAAAAAAAAACTACCTAATCCCAATGTACAGAGCATTACACAACAACTGGGACCCGTTTCACAAAGCCTTTTTTCAATAACAAATGAAAGAAGAAAAAAAAATCAGTGACAAATCTATCGATAACCAATTAGAAGCAAGGATTTCACTAGCTTATTACCACAACTGTCGCTCGTCACTGATGACAAGTTTTGTGGAATGGGGCCCAGGGAGAGTAGTAGTTTGAGAAACGTAAATGTATGCCATAATATACTTCCATGGAATAGGTAGAGAGAGAGGGAGAGGGGGGCAAGAGAGATAGAAAGGGGATGAGAGGGGAGGAGGTAAGACACAGTGGGTACAAAGAGAATGAACGAAGAAGAGAGCAAGAGAGAGAGAGAGAGAGAGAGAGGGGGGGGGGGGGGGGGGGGAAAGGGGGGGGGGACAAGGGAAAGACAAAACGCAGAAGGAGTGACAGAGAGTGAACGAAATCAGCGTTTTCTTAAAAGACGTTATATTTCCTTACCTGAATCTACAAAGGCTTTGACCGGATGACCATTGACCGTACAATCAATATACAGCATGAGATGAAAGAAGCAGAGAGAGAGAGAGAGAGAGAGAGAGGGGAAGGGGGGGGACAAGGGAAAGACAAAACGCAGAAGGAGTGACAGAGAGTGAACAAAATCAGCCTTTTCTTAAAAGACGTTATATTTCCTTACCTGAATCTACAAAGGCTTTGACTGGATGATCATTGACCGTACAATCAATATACAGCATGAGATGAAAGAAGCAGAGAGAGAGAGAGAGAGAGGGGGGGGGGGGGAGGGGGGGGGGGGAAAAGGGAAAGACAAAACGCAGAAGGAGTGACAGAGAGTGAACAAAATCAGCCTTTTCTTAAAAGACGTTATATTTCCTTACCTGAATCTACAAAGGCTTTGACCGGATGACCATTGACCGTACAATCAATATACAGCATGAGATGAAAGATGCAGAGAGAGAGAGAGGGGGGAAGGGGGGGGGGGGACAAGGGAAAGACAAAACGCAGAAGGAGTGACAGAGAGTGAACAAAATCAGCCTATTCTTAAAAGACGTTATATTTCCTTACCTGAATCTACAAAGGCTTTGACCGGATGATCATTGACCGTACAATCAATATACAGCATGAGATGAAAGAAGCAGAGAGAGAGAGAGAGAGAGAGGGGGGGGGGGAGGGGGGGGGGAGGGGGGGGGGGGACAAGGGAAAGACAAAACGCAGAAGGAGTGACAGAGAGTGAACAAAATCAGCCTTTTCTTAAAAGACGTTATATTTCCTTACCTGAATCTACAAAGGCTTTGACCGGATGACCATTGACCGTACAATCAATATACAGCATGAGATGAAAGATGCAGAGAGAGAGAGAGGGGGGAAGGGGGGGGGGGGGACAAGGGAAAGACAAAACGCAGAAGGAGTGACAGAGAGTGAACAAAATCAGCCTTTTCTTAAAAGACGTTATATTTCCTTACCTGAATCTACAAAGGCTTTGACTGGATGATCATTGACCGTACAATCAATATACAGCATGAGATGAAAGAAGCAGAGAGAGAGAGAGAGAGAGGGGGGGGGGGAGGGGGGGGACAAGGGAAAGACAAAACGCAGAAGGAGTGACAGAGAGTGAACAAAATCAGCCTTTTCTTATAAGACGTTATATTTCCTTACCTGAATCTACAAAGGCTTTGACCGGATGACCATTGACCGTACAATCAATATACAGCATGAGATGAAAGATGCAGAGAGAGAGAGAGGGGGGAAGGGGGGGGGGGGACAAGGGAAAGACAAAACGCAGAAGGAGTGACAGAGAGTGAACAAAATCAGCCTATTCTTAAAAGACGTTATATTTCCTTACCTGAATCTACAAAGGCTTTGACCGGATGATCATTGACCGTACAATCAATATACAGCATGAGATGAAAGAAGCAGAGAGAGAGAGAGAGAGAGGGGGGGGGGGGGGGGGAGGGGGGGACAAGGGAAAGACAAAACGCAGAAGGAGTGACAGAGAGTGAACAAAATCAGCCTTTTCTTAAAAGACGTTATATTTCCTTACCTGAATCTACAAAGGCTTTGACCGGATGACCATTGACCGTACAATCAATATACAGCATGAGATGAAAGAAGCAGAGAGAGAGAGAGAGAGAGAGAGGGGAAGGGGGGGGGGGACAAGGGAAAGACAAAACGCAGAAGGAGTGACAGAGAGTGAACAAAATCAGCCTTTTCTTAAAAGATGTTGTATTTCCTTACCTGAATCTACAAAGGCTTTGACCGGATGACCATTGACCGTACAATCAATATACAGCATGAGATGAAAGAAGCAGAGAGAGAGAGAGAGAGAGAGGGGGGGGGGGGGGGGGGGGGGGGGAGGGGGGGGGGGGGGGACAAGGGAAAGACAAAACGCAGAAGGAGTGACAGAGAGTGAACAAAATCAGCCTTTTCTTAAAAGACGTTATATTTCCTTACCTGAATCTACAAAGGCTTTGACCGGATGACCATTGACCGTACAATCAATATACAGCATGAGATGAAAGATGCAGAGAGAGAGAGAGGGGGGAAGGGGGGGGGGGGGGGGGGACAAGGGAAAGACAAAACGCAGAAGGAGTGACAGAGAGTGAACAAAATCAGCCTTTTCTTAAAAGACGTTATATTTCCTTACCTGAATCTACAAAGGCTTTGACTGGATGATCATTGACCGTACAATCAATATACAGCATGAGATGAAAGAAGCAGAGAGAGAGAGAGAGAGAGGGGGGGGGGGGGAGGGGGGGGGGGGACAAGGGAAAGACAAAACGCAGAAGGAGTGACAGAGAGTGAACAAAATCAGCCTTTTCTTAAAAGACGTTATATTTCCTTACCTGAATCTACAAAGGCTTTGACCGGATGACCATTGACCGTACAATCAATATACAGCATGAGATGAAAGATGCAGAGAGAGAGAGAGGGGGGAAGGGGGGGGGGGACAAGGGAAAGACAAAACGCAGAAGGAGTGACAGAGAGTGAACAAAATCAGCCTATTCTTAAAAGACGTTATATTTCCTTACCTGAATCTACAAAGGCTTTGACCGGATGATCATTGACCGTACAATCAATATACAGCATGAGATGAAAGAAGCAGAGAGAGAGAGAGAGAGAGGGGGGGGGGGGGAGGGGGGGGGGGACAAGGGAAAGACAAAACGCAGAAGGAGTGACAGAGAGTGAACAAAATCAGCCTTTTCTTAAAAGACGTTATATTTCCTTACCTGAATCTACAAAGGCTTTGACCGGATGACCATTGACCGTACAATCAATATACAGCATGAGATGAAAGAAGCAGAGAGAGAGAGAGAGAGAGAGAGGGGAAGGGGGGGGGACAAGGGAAAGACAAAACGCAGAAGGAGTGACAGAGAGTGAACAAAATCAGCCTTTTCTTAAAAGATGTTGTATTTCCTTACCTGAATCTACAAAGGCTTTGACCGGATGACCATTGACCGTACAATCAATATACAGCATGAGATGAAAGAAGCAGAGAGAGAGAGAGAGAGAGGGGAAGGGGGGGGGGGGGGACAAGGGAAAGACAAAACGCAGAAAGGAGTAACAGAGAGTGAGCCTTTTCTTAAAGCTTATCTGCCATAGTTTACAGGAGGGATTACACCGGCCTGCAAGGTCACTGGACAGGTGGTTATCTCATCAACTCAGCTCTCAGTTAACATTAGAAAAAGAGGATCATGGGGGACCAATGGTCACCGATTAGGCATTGTTTGTTATATAGAGGGCGCAAGTAGCTACAAGTTGTGCAGTGGGCCTTTAAAAAAACAATACATTTCCTTACCTGAATCTACAAAGGCTTTGACAGGATGACCATTGACCGTACAATCAATATACAGCATGACAACCTGACCAAAGCTCTCTGGTGCATGCTCCATGGCAGTTTCCATGTTGGCTTCTACATTCTGCAATCTGACATGGTGCAAAAGAAAAATCACTGACATTTCATTGACTTTTCTGAAGTTCTGGCAATCATAATTGAGATTTTCACATAACTCAACAAACGTTACACCAGTCTTTAGGTACGGCTCTATAGGTATTGTGGTCTAGTGGATAGGTCACCTGACTGCAGATCTCAAGGTACGGGGTTCAAATCCCAGCCCGACACTAACGTCCTTTGGCAAGACATTAATCTACATTTGCCACCATCCATCCACGCGTTAAATGGGTACCCGGTAGGATGCAAAATTTAATGTAGTTTGCTCAGCATTGTGAGCATCTGTAAAATGACCCCTGGCTGGAATGCTCCCCAGTGAGTGGAGAAAAGTGCATACATTGTGTGCAGGCAAGCCTGAATCCGATGACCGGGCAATAATATATCTGTAAAGCACTTAGAGACATTGTTGGATGTATTAAGCGCTATATAAAAGTGGAATAGTATTATTATTATCTGGAATGAACTTTCAGAGTCTACACTGTTATGCATGAGCCCTTAATCATAAGAATTCTAAAATTGGGGGAGGGGGTGCATTACTGCACTGTCATCTGGATATGAGGTGAGAAATTCTGATTTTTAGAGGAAAAACAATCATTTTGCTTCAGATTAATAGATTTTCTACCAGCACAGTCAAAGCAAGCAGAGCTTGATGTTGTATAGATGAACACACATGAACAGCTAAGGAAAAAGGAATAATAACACCCATAATTTTCTTTCAAACAAAATCTTTCAGAAGTGCTAATGTTGCTTAAAGTCATGGCTCTCAGATACTTAAAGGCCCACTGCACTACTTGTAGCTACTTGCGCCCTCTATATAACAAACAATGCCTAATCGGTGACCATTGGTCCCCCATGATCCTCTTTTTCTTATGTTAACTGAGAGCTGAGTTGATGAGATAGCCACCTGTCCAGTGACCTTGCAGGGCGCTCTAATCCCTCCTGTAAACTATGGCAGATTTAAAGCTTTAAAGCCCCTGTGCAATAGTTTGGCATGGAGGGATTAGACCTCCCTGCAAGATCACTGACAGGCGGTTATCTCATCAAATCAGCTCTCAATTAACATAAGAAAAAGAAGATCATGGGGGATCAACAGGCACCGATTAGGCATTGTTTGCTATATAGAGGGCGCAAGTAGCTATAAGTAGTGCAGTGGGGCTTTAAGTTGATACCTTATAGCTTCTGCTATCTTGGTTTGTGCATTGAGATCAAAGGGGTCTGCATTCAGCAGCAGAATACGCTGTCTCTCCCGCTCTGCTCTCTCTTTACGCTGTCCACCTAGCACCTCGGTAAATTTTTCTGCAGGAAAAAAAAAAGGGGGACATTAACATACGTCAGGAAACTTCTGGTGAATGTGATTACTGATTCAGAAATCTATACGATAATGCATTGAAAGGGATTGACTTGGTAAGCAAATGAAAAAAAGGGCATATATTCAAATATAAATGCCAAGGAAATACAGGAGTCAGTATCATATTTACAATAGAAAATTCATACAATGTAAATGATTATTTCTAAGCTAGCACCTCCTCAATATTCAATATACAATAAATATTGAATTGTTGAATACATTTCTTTTAGGTTTGATAAAAAAGTGAATAAACGACAAAAGGCTAAAGGAAAACAACAATTCATTATGAGCATTCTGAATTTTGAACTTTATTTGATATTTTGTGCTTTATTCTGACATTTGAAATAGTATGTTTTCTCACATTTGCGCTTTAAAGCCCCTCTGCACTAGTTTGGCATGAAGGGATTAGACCACCCTGACGTAGTTGTCATGCAGTAGACTGTAGAGGGCGGTAATGCAGCAGAGAGAGGAAAAAAGCGCGGGCCTGAGATCATGTGATATTTACGTGCCTATTACGTGATTTTTTTTTCTCTCTGCGAGCTGCCGCATTCTCTGCATGACAACTACGTCTCATTTCAAAATGATGGCTAGCTGAACTCGATATCGAGTACGCAGCTCATGAAATATCATTATTTCTGTAAGATATTATGAATATCTATACTATTATTTGTCAAAGCAAATAATTATTTTACGGTAATTTTGTTGAATTGGAGTCCCTTAAAGTCTTACGTGATGTTTTTAATTGGTTTAATGCTTATTGTTGCGATCAGGTCGGATGACGGTGTAGGGATGTAAACATGCATATCAAGCTTGACTCGTAACTTCTGCTTGCCGTTAATTTATACACGCATTTTTAGAACGAACGAAAGGCACTTTGATGTTATTTCAAGAGCTTTAATTTATTTCCTTCATCAAACTATCAAGAGTAAACCATTATGTTGTGGATATATTTTGACAATTAAATTAATGCCTTTAGTATTACGATTTAATTGCAATAGTCTTTTCAGTCTTGTGTGTGGCACTTTCTTGCTCTGTCTTCAGTGGGTCATAGATCTATTTCCACTTCCGTTTCTGAACGCACTCGATCGGTACCTCGAAGCGTGATTCCTTTCTTGCAGCCTCAATTTTAGAGCGATTAAAAACACCTACCGTCAACTGAAACAATATCCATTTATTTCTAAAGCATATTTATTTGATTATATTGAAATATAAGTTTGTGAATTGCATATTTTTAGTTCTATATTTCAAAATATCAGTGTGAAATTTAATTTTGAAAAACCCGAAACCCGAAAAACAAAAACCGGGTTTCAGCTCGACGGTCGGGGCCCAGGCGGGGACCCGTTTCGACTCAGGCCTACTGTATAGAGGGCGCAGTAGCTATAAGTAGTGCAGTGGGGCTTTAAATAATACAAGAATATATATTGTTCCTTTATTCATCCCTTGCTCTACCAATAAAACTGTTCAGATTCAGCAAAAGCAACCCTGTTTAACTTACGTAGATTGCCTTCATCCAGGGCTTCTGCTAGCGGTGGGTTCCTCTCTTTCAGGATAGCCCTCTCGGCTGGGTTGGACTTCAGCATCTCCATCAGTCTAGCTGGGTCCTCCTCGATGGCTCCGCCTCCAGGTCTTTGAACCGCTCCACTGGATGGCCCCGCCCCAGTCGGCGCAGGCGCTGCGGAGGGTCTTGGTATTCTGATGTTGCTAAAGTCTGGCAGTTGGCCTGTTGAGGAAGTGAACACAAATGAACAAATTGATCTTTAAGGGAACAATCAAATTTATGTTTCTCCAGAGCAAAAAATAGAACAGAGCTCAAGGCTCAAAAAGGGTACATGTACATAAAAATTGTCACAAGGAAATCACCTTTTTTTTAATAGTTTATTCAAGAAGAACCCTTCACAATAACAAAACCACTCTCTACAAACAAAGGCATCAACTTCAAAAAATTCAATTCAAAATCATTTTATTCTTGAACATCAAATAAAACATCAGATTGTACAAATAGTATACACATGAAAATAAGAAGCCTCCAGAAACAAAAGGCGATCTGGCGGTCTTGCTCTTACCAGGTGCTTGCGGATTCTGTGGGGGCATCATCATCCTTGGTTGGAGCAGGAGGACATCACCGTCAGCAACACCGTACCCGCTCAAGGTCTTCTTCATATCCAACATGGGCCTTCCGTTGTAGAGAATGACGCACTGACTCGACGAGAGCTCTGCCTCCATCTCCACCAAGACCTTGAAGTTCTCGAGCTCGATCTCCGGACTCACCTCAAGACTGATGAGGGCGCCCTCCAAATTAGCCACGCTCACCTTCATTTTGTTGTTGTTGTTGTGGTGTTACAGTCCCGTTGTGACTAGCATGCAGTGTCTGTGTTTTGTAAGAAAAAACAAGTTAGAAACGCTGTAGATCTAGGCCTAAATTTAAAATTTCAATTTGTTGTTCAAACTTTCAAAAGACAAAGACTGCTTCGTGTTGTTGAGGGAAGGTCTTTTCTCTTCTTTTTCTTTTGTCCAGTTGTTCTTGTTTAAAGACAGATGAATTTATTTTCTTCCTGTTTTCTTTTCCCCCATTTAAAAAAAAACTCTTCTTCTTTTTCTTCATTCATGTCTCATGAATCATCATCATGACATGATCATTAGATAAAATTATGTTCTTCTCTATCTTGTTCTCCTTCTCCCCTTTTCCTTTTCTTTTTCTTTTCCCACTTCTTCTTCTTTTCCGCTAAAAAACGAGAAAGCCAAAACATATAGGTTTTTCTTTTCACTCAAACTGATAGGCTTTCCATGCAATAATATAGCATTTCCACATTCAGCGGCATATCAGCGCTCGGCCTCGGCTCAGCTCAGCTCCGACCAGGCCAAGCTAGTGTAGTCTCGCATTCATTCTCGCATTCATTCAGCTGATTCACGCACGATCGGAATGAATCACTTCACCTCATCATCAGTCACAATAAATTCATGAGCGAAATCGGAGCCTAGCAATTAAATGTCATGAAAGTGAAAATAATAATGGAACTTTGGGTATACTCACAACTTAGGATAACTTTTCTGAATCAATTCTGAAGTCTAACTGTTATTTTAATACTAATATGACTGCACTTAGTGTAAGTTATGTTGTTGCCGAATATCTGTACTAGGTTGTGTGACATTAGCCTCTAGAGGGCAGTACATGTGATCATTACAAAGCTAATGAAAGGGAGTTCTACAAATTATTGAACAACTTACTATAACATTCTCGATATTTCATCTTTGATTATGAAGATATAAATAATAATAAAACACAGACCTACAAAAAAAAAGCTGCTGTCATAGTACCATACGGCCTGGCCTCAGAGAGCTAGGCATATAATTTGAACGTCTACATATTTAATTGTGATGAGGATGATATGATGATCGATGATGATGATATGATGATGATGATGATGATGATGATGATGATGATGATGATGATGATGATGATGATGATGATGATGATGATGATGCTGCTGATGATGATGATGGTGATGCGTACTCATAATAGTAATAATAATAATAATGATAAAAATAGTAATGATAACATGAATACTAAAAATGATACAAACGATAATAAATAAGGATAGGATCAATGTTGGCATTTTTTATAAACTGAAATACAATTGGCCGCTATAAGGGGTGGGATGGGGGGGGGGGGCGGGGGCGGGGGCGGAGGATGACATATTAGAAACGTCCACCAAAAGTGGAGTGTAAGCGTTGCTTAATGAATTGATAATTCACTGTGAAAGAACATATATTTGCCGGTACTGCCACCAAGAATTTGGGACAGGCCAGAAGCGCGGTTCTAGAAGACTAATTTGAGGGTAGGAGGGGGGGGGGGGGGCCGGGGGGAGTGAGGGCAAAATGTAGGGCTGAGCTTGAGCATCCCCCTCTTCCCTAATAAATCGCTTCTGGTTTATATACTATCATAATTCAATATGTACATCATATTGCGACTACTTTTTAAATAACATATTCAACAATTCATCATCGAGATCGCACGAGCTTGTTTAAATCATGCATGGAATCTAATTTGTACTACTAAAGCACACTTCTGATTTGAAAGACTAATATACAAGAAAGGACAGCTTAGAATGCAACATGTAACAGCAACAACAAAAAAGAAACAAACCAAAATTAAATAATTGACCCCCTCCCCCGACCATTCACTTAGAATGGGTAATTATTTATAGTGGGAATTTGTAGTCCTTATTTCGTAGTCCTAACACTTCTTTTTCATTTGTTGTTTATTGATGCAGAGAAATTGAAATCCACTGCCATGATCGAGTCATAAAAAGACCATTTTCTTTGTAATTGAAGTCACTCAAAAATAATTATGGAATCTGCTCCAATTATATTCATATGGAGTGATTCTTAAAATGGAATCAACTGCGGTTTGTTTCCACTAGCCAGTGAAATGTTTTCCTCTGATTGGTTTTAATCTAGCAAATCATAGAGAACTGTTAGAAAAGATGTGATCAAAAATTGTTAGAAAGTTTCACGATTTTACTGTTATTTTGGCCTTTTAGAAGTACCGGAGCCCCCAATTATAAGCCCCCTATAATTCTGGAAACCCGATGGCCCACCATTATACCCGCTGTTCAAAGGGAGAGAGAGAGAGAGAGAGAGCCGGGGGGGGGGGGGGGAGGGAGGAAAAAGGGACTGTAGTAATGTTTGGAAGGCCTTAATGAGTCTTGAAGGGGTGGGGGTGATTGCCTCCTGGATCCACCCGCGCATTGCATGTAAATAATAAAAAGCGTCTCACTTTGGGGTGGGGTGGGGGGGGGGGGGGGCAGGGGGGCGGGAGAGGGCGGCCGGGGGCTAGATAGGACTAGACTATATAGTAAACAATGGAGTTGGCCTCAGACAATTTTCGAAATCGTCATTGGAATCCCCCCTCAAGTCATTGATTTTGCATAAATTAACAGGAGAAAACATAAAAGAAGGTTTACATCGCTGGAATCCCCCCCCCCCCCCCCGTACATAAGGCCAATTGCTAGAAAACGACTGTAAATGAGACTATTTTATTGATGTCATTGTTGCGAAAATCTACGAATAATGCGGAACAAAATGGCGAAATCACCGGTTTTCATCCTCTTTTTGATAATTGTATCTGCTGGTCTGTTTGAGTGCTCTCTAAATCCGTACAAGACATTATCTGTTTCCAAATCAGCATCTCAGCCGGAGATTAAACGAGCTTACAAGAAGCTCGCTCGCGAATGGTAATGTGTACATGTCCATTTATTGTTGTCCCACGTACTCATAATCGTGTGTGTATGAGGTTTGTCCTGTTTTTGTGTGACGATTAATGATGCTGATGCGATCGATGCTGGGGCGGTGGCTTGTTAAGTGTAGTTTTAGTGGTGTGTGTATGTGTGCGTGGGGGAGGGGGGGGGGGGTAGGTGTCATAAGGCCCAAGCTAAGCTATGCCCACTGACTGTGGACTGCTAAATTACAAATTGTGTGTGCCTCTATCAAGCTGAGCTGAGTAGACTTTGTAAGTATTTCAAAGACAAAGCCAAAGGCAAAGCAAAGGATCAAATTTGAAATTATTGACATTATCATTTGCATCATCATTTGAGGTAGATCTAGTCTGTATAGATCTAGACGACCTCATAAATGAGGATATCCTTGTATACACGGACAAAACGCGTCCTTGAAAATAAGGACTTTTTAAAAAAAAACTTTGGCAGCGCATTGCAGCACTGGCGATGCAAAAAACAGATTCTGTGTAATAAAATACCCCCATTTCACCCTCTACTTTTATAGGTTGTCCATCTTCCTGAGGATTTATCGCTCATAACGTGACTGTCTCTGTTCAAAGTCCATGTAAAATGCATCAAGAAAATCATAGCGAAACCCATTTTCTTAGCATCGCTAAACGTGCGGATCAGAAATCAGAGTCGTCAGCAAAAATGTGGACGATCTTTATTTTTGCTGGGCGTCTGTCCGCGTTTACGAAGACGATCGTCGTTTGTGCGGACGGTCCTTATTCTCTGACCAGTTCCCCTACCGGTAAAGACTAAAAGGGGAACAACCCTTAAGATGGGCATTTGTAGTGTTGTTGTGGGGTTAAACCTATCATGGAATATTGAACTCAAATATGATATTTTTTATTATTTTTTGCATTTATAATAAAGAGAACAAATTATATATTTTATAGTAAGTAGAATCATTTATCTTTTAAAGAATCTGTCTTTTGAGTCATTTCCGATATGGCTTGATTGCTTTGCAGAAATCTTAAGCTTGACATGGTGTAAGAAGTGTTGTCATACTGCAAGTCAAATCTGCTTCTTTTTTATTTTTTAAAGATATTCTTAATTTTGCTCTTCTGACTTACCTCTAAATTTTCTCTCCTTATATCGCACAATTTAGGCATCCAGACAAAAGTGATGATCCTAATGCCTCCGATAAATTCATCAAGATCCAGCAATCATATGAGGTAACTATGCTGTTTAGTTCAGTTCAGTTCACTTTATTCAATAATTTCCTTAAAAATATACATATCTATAGGTAAACAAACATATAAAAGTTTCAAAATACTATCACTATATTGCATGAGAATAATATAAGCAGAGAAGACAAGAAGAACAAGAACGTTAAAGAAAGTCTTTGCTTTGGAGACAAAATAGAACGGCCGGGCCTTATGTAAAAGTCTGTCTCCAGTGATTATATCAAAATAACAGAATACTAATTACTACTGAACATTTTTTAGTAGAAAGAGTAAAAATTAAATAATGTACTTACGTTAACTCACATACACACACTCCTGTACACGCACGCACACACACACACACACACACCACCACCACCATCACACACACACATACACACACACACTGCATGATCTGTCTGATAGATATCAAAGTTATAGGTTATTGCACTAGTGAGTATTGTTGTAGTAAATACCATGTAATTAAATTGTACTAAATACAATGAATTGTAATGAAAAGAGAGAGAGAGAGAGAGACTATTAATTAAATATAATTCAAATTAAGATCAAATTGAGCGTGGCATGTCACATGAAGAAGTAACAAATTGTAGGAATTACATGTAGATTGGTGAAAGGAATGACTATACTATGAGAATAAACACTATGAATAATTTCCACTGCCATATAAATAAGAAATTCAGGATTTTACATTTGTGGCCCCAACTGATGGGCCTTACCTTCTATGCCATTCAATATTTTATTTAGAGTGCTGTTTGTTTCCCATGAAGATCTTTATATCAATCAGGAAATCCAACAACAAAATGTCACAGGTGTAAATTTAACTTAACTGTTCAGCAACAAAAATGTTCAAAAAGAAGAGAGATTGAAGAAGATGACAGGAAAAAAAAATAAATAGGCACTGTAAGAAAGGGAAGCATGTTTTTATGCCTCCGTTACGAAGTAGCCGGAGGCATTATGTTTTCGGGTTGTCCGTCCGTCCGTCCGTCCGTCCGTACGTCCGTACGTCCGTACGTCCGTACGTCCGTACGTCCGTCCGTCCGTCCGTACGTCCCGTTCTCGTGATCGCGTTATCTGAAGAACCGATTGATGGATTCCTGCCAAACTTTGGTCATGTATGTATCTTGCAGAGCCGATGAACTGATTAGATTTGGGGGTCACGAGGTCAAAGGTCAAAGGTCACAGGGCTCATTATGTATGCAAAAACAGCTCGTGATCGCGTTATCTGAAGAACCGATTGATGGATTCCTGCCAAACTTTGGTCATGTATGTATCTTGCAGAGCCGATGAACTGATTAGATTTTGGGGTCACGAGGTCAAAGGTCAAAGGTCACAGGGCTCATTATGTATGCAAAAACAGCTTGTGATCGCGTTATCTCAAGAACCGATTGATGGATTCCTGCCAAACTTAGGTCATGTATGTTACTTGCAGAGCCGATGAACTGATTAGATTTTGGGGTCATGAGGTCAAGGTCAAAGGTCATGCGGCTCATTATGTATGCAAAAATAGCTTGTGATCGCATTATCATTAGAACAGATTGATGGATTCCTGCCAAACTTAGATCATGTATGTATCTTGCAGAGCCAATGAACTGAGTAGATTCTTGGGTCATGAGGTCAAAGGTCAAAGGCTCATTATGTATGCAAAAATAGCTTGTGAACGCATTCTCATTAGAACTGACAGATGGATTACTATTTAACTCGGGACATCTTGTGGAGCCAATGAACTGAGTAGATGTTAGGGTCATGAGGTCAAAGATCAAAGGGTCATATATGTATATGAGAAATTGCTTGTAATCACGATATTCTGAGAACCTGTTAATGGATTACAATTGAACTTGAATTTGAAAAATTTCTTCTGTTTTGGTTTGTAAATTGCTCTATGACGGAGGCATCATTTCGACTGCGCGCAGTCGAAGTTCCATCTAGTTTTATCTTATATTATAGCATTATTACAGTGTATGTAAACAAGCTTCTAAATTCAGTATTTCAAATGTTTCAATTAGAAGGTAAATGCATCATTCATGACCATGTTTGTGTCTTGATTACAGATCTTGTCCGACGAAGCAAAGCGGAGAGAATATGACCAGTTTGGGATAGTGGATCCGCAGGAGAGTCAGCGCAGGCAACGCGATCCGTTTGCGGACCAATTTTTCCAGCAGAATAACAACTTTGGCGGGGGATTCAACTTCCACAACTCTGGAAACAACGACCCTCGCCGGGTGACTCTGTCAAGGCTGCAGGATGGCATCTTGCCTCAGAGCACAGACAAACCCTACCTGATCTTTGTGACTGGAAGCTTCTGCTTCAACTGCATGAACATCGAGAGGATGTGGTCCGACATTACTCCGGAAATCGAGTCATGGGGTAATAATAATAATAATAATAGTGAACATTTATAATGCGCCATGTCTGTCAAAAATGACACTCCTGACACAGTTGTGTGGAAATTGTATAATTGTGGGCATACGACCATAAAGTAATTTAAGAAAGAAATTAAATACACATAAGTTAAAGTTTAACATACTTCAGGACATAATGTGCAATAATAGAACAATACAATACAAAGCATATTACAATAATAAAAGATATATATTAAAGGGTAGTACAATGTAAGACATAATTAAGCAAACTAATATGTTGAAAACAGAAACTTTTTTAACAAAAACTTGAACTGTGAGTAGGAGTTCTCATTTCGGGTGAGGAGAATAAACAAGATAGGCTTTACATTAGGTGTTTAGGGTTTTATCCATCGCAATATAAAATTACATTGTTTAGATGGACATGGATGGATAAACCAGTGGTATCCTAACCCAGTCGTCTTACTTTATTATAAACCAAGCTTGTGTATGAACAAGTGTCCTTTCATAAGGCATTACTTCTTGATTATAAGGTCGAGGTCCCTCTTTTATGACTAATAGCTGTACATCACCTGATTGCTTTCATGTTTGTATTGAAGAATATACAATCAGATAAAAAATGGCATACTGAACTAAATGATTGTTCCACTGTCAACATACTTATCATCTCTGTAAATGTATATCCTGCTGAGTAAGTTTCAGTTACTTTGGCTTTTCCTGCAATGTCTTTAGACAATTCTTTCTTTATATATATATAGACCTAATTTTTTTGAATTTGTTGCTTACTTTGATGCACAATCCAGGTGTCGGTGTGGGATCGGTCAACATTGACAGTGACCGCAGGCTGGCCTCAGTGCTTGGTATACGTCATCGTCCAGCCATTGCGGGTATCATAAACGGTCAAGTGACGGACTATGGTCAAGGAAGTGTGACCTTGAAGGCCATGAGAGACTTTGTAGACAGGTTGCTGCCAAGCAGCCTTATTCAAGAGGTATGTCTTCATGTTATTTCTAGTACAGTAAAAGCTATAAAATTATGAAGGCCACTCAAGGGATATGAGAAAGCTGATCTTTGTAGGAAGTGTTGTTCTTTATCTTCAGGTTGTTACCAAGCAGCCTACATGTAGTTCAAGAGGCATAGTGTCATTGTATTTCTTGTCCAGTGAATCCTGCTTATAATAATAATCTTTTAAAGTCCAGTCCAAATTTTATTAAACCGAAACGGGAATTCTTTTTCCCCAATTGATCGTGAGCCCGGCAGCCACTGAGCAGCGCCAGATTGACGTTGCTCTATCCCTTATTGTTAAACGCCAAACAAGGTAGCAGCAACTCCCCTCTTTTAACGTCTTTTGGTATGACGCGGCCGGGGTTCGAACCCACGACCTCCCGGTTGTGAGGCGGACGCTCTACTGACTGAGCCAACACTCCGGTGTAAAAGACCATTAAAGAGAAACAAAGAAATGTGGGTCTTACACATAGGCGGTCTTTATGTTCAGGTTTCTATAATAACAGTGAAATCAAAGACCACTCAACAGAGTCAGATAATTGTTCTCTATAGGCAGGTGGTCTTTATGTACAGGTTTCTAATAGACAAGTTTCTATGAACATTTTTGTTCAAGAGAAACAAAAAGTGTTGTCTTTCAGTCATGCATGTAAAGAGTGGTGAAGTTTTAGAAATTCTCAATTTGTTCTTCATTTTCCAAAAGAGCATCAAAAATAATGTCCAAACCTCATTAACCAATTGAATATATTAAGTATTGGCTGAGAAATGACCATCTGAATATATATATTTCCTATAGGAACTCAGTGTTATTTGCTCTGGCTCGTGATGGTAATTCTAAAATTTGATTTTTTTTCTTTTTTATGACGTCACAGCTTCGGTACTCTATAGCAGGAGAAAGGCAACAACCTATAAATTTCTGTGTCGTCTTTGTAGTGCAGTGATTTATTTCATAACCACGGAATACAGACTACATTTCTACTTCTTCTCATTTACAGGTCCATAATAACAACTACGAAGACTTCTTTGCCAACTTCTACAATGAGAACAAGCCCCGGGTCCTGCTCTATTCCCGGAACCGAGACATTCCCATCATCTTCAAGGTCGGTGTTTTTGCCTTCAGGGAGCACCAGACGTTCGGCTTTACCTCTGCCAAGTATTCCAACACAGACGGGGTTCTAAAGCACGTTGGGGTGCAGCACAGGACGGGGAAGGTGTTGGTGTTTAAGGAGAATATCAAAGAGAGTGTGGATATGGTTGAGGTAATATCATTATTTAACGTTACCATAACGCTATTAATAATGATAATATTAATGATAATAATAGTGTAAACTTATAGAGCGCACACACCATCCAGGGACGCTCATGGTGCTAGCTCAGCAACAGTCCTCTTAAATCCCTGTACATGTATAAAGACAGGGCTCAACGCTACGCTGGTCTTGCACTCATAGATACACGAAACGTTCTCAGGAGTCTGTGGCATACAGTGTCTAATATTATTGACTCCTGGGCCCCATTTCTGCGCTCACAGCATTCAAGGAATTCCTTCCTACCGGTACCCATTTAACACCTGGGTGGAGAGTGGCAAATATAGATTAATATCTTACCAAAGGACATTAGTGCCGGAATTGATAGTAATGTTGACATTTGATACTTTTCTTGCTGTACAGGAGAAACATATGACCTTGGAAGCACTGACTCATTTACTGAACTACAACAAATACCTCTACCTTCCGAGGCTCTCCTCCCAAACTCTCTTTGAAGAAATGTGTCCAGAGACTCCAAATCTGGTAGGACGAAAGTAAGTACTGGATCGGTCCTTTCCAAATCGGCACACTAGATTGTATCAGTATAGAAGCAGTAGAAGTACAAAGCAGTTGTTACACAAAGGGTGATTAAGTAGCGAAAATGAAAAGTCAAAGTAAAAATCCCAAGACAGTGAAGAAAACTCATGGATTGATGTCCTTTTGAGAATGGAACAACGTAATGTAAGGTCTAAGCTAATAACAGGTTGACTGTATTCTGCCCTGGTCCCTGTTTTCACAAAACTTGTTATCAAAAAGCAAGTTACGTTTATTGTTATAAGCTACTGAAATCCATGCATTTGATTGGCTGTGAGCAGATTTGTCATAGATCTGTGGCAGTTGTAACAATTTTTTTGAAACAGGGCTCAGATTGTTTTGTGAAGACAAGAGGGGGAGGAATTACTCGGCCCCATCTTTAATATAAAGGTTGGATATTTTCGCTTCTTATTTGCGATTGATATCAATCATAAATATGTACATATGAGGTATGAGACTGCAAACTTGTGATTGTGATTGTGATTGTGTCCCGTTTTGTAATTCTGTTCTCTTTGTATATTTGGATTATTTAGACACTTTAAAAGGGTTTATGAAACTATGTTATTATATCTATTTTACTGTGATCATTAGGACACTTTCAAATTATTTATGAAAATAATGTTTATATTTCATTCTTGGGAACCTACAAAAACAAGCTATGCTTTCCAGTAGGTTCCTGTTTCATTTTATAATTTTGAACTTACTTTGTCAACTATGTTCTTTATTGTGCAATCAATTGATATATGAAATGGAATAAATTCGAATCAATCAAGAACAACACAAACAAAAAATAAATATAATAGGGCTGCGACGAGTAGTCAAATGCTCGAGTAACCACACGGTTGACAACTACTCGAGTACAATTTCTCTTACTCAAATATTCGGCCGCAAAAAAAAAAAAAAATGTATCAAGCACTGTCAAACTCACCACTCAGAAACTGGGACCAAATGTCCAGATTTCTGTTTGGACTTGGAGGAAAATGGATTATTCTGCCATCTTTGGTTTTTAAAACAGCATTGTTTACTGTTATTATTATTATTATTAAATTGGCGCTTTCAACTGCAACTCAAAGTAAAATTGCCTGCGTTTTCGGCGATGGACTTGGGATACTGCTCCAGGGTGGCAACAAAAAAAAATAAAAAATAAAAAATAATAAAAAAATAAAAAAAATAAAAAAAATTCAAAAAAGTTATAAAAAAACATAGCGTCCGATTATTTGAGTATTCGCTTGTAAGCCTGGGAGTTTACTCGGGTACCTCATTACACTGTTGTGCACAGCCTTAAAAAATAATGTGTCTCTATTTCAGATTGTGCGTCATCCAGATCACAAAGGCCACTCCGGAGCACGAGCCGTTCCGAGCTTCGTTCAGAGACATGGTGATGAGTACGCCCTCATGGCCCCATGAAGCCAAGATGACTTACATGCTGTTTGAGAATCAGGAGCAAGTAGCAGCAGCAATGGAAGGGTTAATGGTGGAGGTCCAGCATGCAGTTCCAGTAAGTCCTTCATCATTAATTCATTCATTATACGTTAAAGCCTGTCTGCACTAGTTTGGCCAGGGGGGAATTAGACCTCCCTGCAATGTCACTGACTGGTGGTTATCTCGTCAAATCAGCTCTCAATTAAGATAAGAAAAGGAGGATCATGGGGGACCAACATGGTCCTACATGCTGTTCCAGTAAGTCCTAAATAATTTTGACCCTGTTTGAAGAATACTTAATTACTTTAGTTTGTGTATTGTTTTATTTTGGAATGTTTACACAATTTGTGCGATTGTTGTTACATTGGTGTGCAAGAGAAGTTTGTTTTATCTTGTAGACTGGTTGTAATTCAGCCAGAATCTGTATTTTAATGAACCATAGAATAATTTGGTATTAGTTCATTCTTTATGTGTTAAGTTTTGATTGCCGGCCAGTTGGCTCATAAACTGACTTGCTTCATTTGTAGATTAGCACACGTATCAGGCAAGTTTATTTTATTAACAATAATAATACTCTGCTTTTATATAGCGCGAATTACAATTAGGTCTGTTAGCGCTTACAAACTTTGGAGATTATTACCCTGGCTTTAGCTGTGCTGCCATTACGGTGCTCTAGCATTTCAAGGAATTAATTTCTGCCGGGTACCCATTTACATCGATCTGGCGCTGCTCAGTGGCTGCCGGGCTCATGATTAATTGGGCAAAAAGAGTTTCCATTTTTTAGTTTAACTTAATAAAATTTGGAGTGGACTTTAAAAGATTATTATTATTATGGGATGATGGGTTCTGCATCCATGTTTTGAAGGTCCTTGGAATGGTACATACTTTGTATCAATTGAACCTTCTTTAACAGTAGAAGGTAAATTTAATAGATGACCTCTTTTTTCCAGGCCGTTTTGCTAGGTGCACCAAATATCTATGAAAAGCTTAATTTCATATACTCCCTTGATGCTTAAAGTAGCTGTGTGAATCTTTATCCTTCAGTCAGGTGGCGCTAGCTGCACTGCTGTGGCCATCACAAGTTTATGCCATCCATCTCTGTCTGCTGATGCTCTTGTGTCCTCTGAAAGCTTTTTCCCTGTCCATATGTGGATGTCTTTCAACCAGGAACAGCATGTCTGCCTCTTCCTGGCCTGGCTTCCACTGTTCCTGTTACAAGGGTCTTTCCAAGACCATCTCTCCTCACTAGATGGCCAAAAATCTTTATAAAAGATGAAATTGATCAGCTGTTTGTGTATATTTACTTGTCAAGTAATGGAAAGTGCCAAATACATCTACATGTTTCTAAATTTATCTTTTCATCCTAGGTTGCAATTGTTTGGAGACAGCGAGGGAACCAGATCCGCCACGCCTGGCTACCCGACGGTTGGGAGGGCCAAGACATCACATTGGAGCGAAGAGGGATCAAAGAGTTCCTCTACAGACTCAACGATGGAACTTCCAAGTTTGCCCACAAAGGGATCCTACCACAGTTCAACGATGAAAATGCTCCGGTAAATGAAGTGGTTCTTATTTAGTGGTGGATTAAGGGGTAAGGGGGGGGGGTGCCCCTTCCAAATCCAAATTACACACAAATAAATGTGCCCCCTCTTTGAGCCCCCTGGCACCAAATCTAAACCACTAGTTCTTGAGATAGTTCAGAAAGTTGAGTCTTGTAATTGTTCATGAGTATTCAAGAAAGTTGAAGTCTTGTAATTGTTCACGGATATTCAAGAAAGTGGAGTCTTGTAATTGTTCATGAATATTCAAGAAAGTGGAGTCTTGTAATTGTTCATGAATTTTCTAGAAAGTGAAGTCTTGTAATTGTTCATGAATATTCTTGAAAGTTGAGTCTTGTAATTGTTCATGCATATTTAAAAAAATTATTTCATGAGTCTGCTTTTTCAGCATCTGTACCAAAACAAAATAAAAATCGGGACTATAAGGGGCTTGCTTTCCACCCTCTTGACGTAATAAAAACAAAAAAGGGTTATCCATGAAATATTTTTCTAGACCTCCAAAACATGTCCTCCATGGTGAAATGTGATTTGATGATGTAACTTCTATTCTGTCTTTTATTATTTTGCAGGCTTGGCCAATTCGGAAATTCAGAGAGTTGACGCAAAAGATGACGGACCTGTATAATGCAGCATACAACTTCATATTTGGTTCATCTTGGTAAGCGGCTTTTGAAGTGATCTTTATTCAAACGTACATTTGCTAGTATTTAAAAGGATTTACGTACATATAGTGATACCCCATAGTTTGATAGAATACAGTAAGTTGTAGGAACAAATTTGAGAGTTTCCCAAATGCAGTTATAATGTTTTCTGATTGGATTATTAATGTTGAGCCCTTCGGTGTCATTAGCAGTGACTTCATTTCAACCTGGTGTGTATTTGTGTTGATGATTGTTTGTTTGTTTTTGACAAACAGTAGCTTACATATCTTCTGAAGCATAAAACAACTACATACAGTACTGTACAATCCCCCTTTTGTGCTGCAGGAGAGACAAAGACTTACTTTTAAAAAAAAGTGGCAATTGAAAAAATATTATTGAATGAGTGGTATAATGGGGGATAATTAAAACGTTCTTTATATATTGATTCTCTTAAGATATCATATTTTGATTTAATTCTCTTTCATCCAAACATGTATAGCAGTAATTATTATATACCTCACTTAAGAAATCCAGCCATCTGATTGGTTGAAATTGCATTCATAAACTTTAACTATTTCTGTAAAATTCCCCGTAACCATGGTTAAAGCAGTTCTAAAATCCCAGTAACCATGGTTACAGGGAAAATAGTTCAGTCTCCATGGTTATCCCATAGGTTTACATGTTAAAAAATGGTCTGAGCGATCGAGGATACCGTACGTGTGCGAAGAATTGGTCGGTAATTTCAATACAATTGAATCTCGATCGATCTTACCGACAATTTTTTATCTTGCATTGTTGACATGAAGACGAAAATAAACTTTCAAAAACAAAAAAACAAACATCTGCCGATAGATCTTGATCTAAGTTCGTGCCAATATGCATTGCAAAAGTAAAAGAAGGGCCCGTTTAATGGAGCAGCCGCGAAGCATCCACCACGCGAAGCCGTTTTCAATCCATTTTAATGTATATATTAGAGAAAACTGCTCAGTAAGGTAACAGAGCGCGATGGCCGAGCGGTTTAAGGCGGTGATTTTAGTTACATCACCTTCTGTACGCAAGAAATCGAATCCCATCTTCGACAAAAGTTTTTTTAATTTTTAATTTTTATTTTTTTTATTTTTTCGGCATATAAAAGTATTAATGACTGCTTTAATATTCGAGAAATAGTTGTTTTTATATGCTCTCGGGAAGGTTAGGATTGTGCTATTGCCCGAGGCGTGCCGAGGGCAATAGCCCAATTCTAACCTTCCCTTGAGCGTATAAAAACAACTATTTCTCTCAAAGCAGTCATTAATACTATACTAATGTCTGTCCGTAAACTAGGTGTTGTAGTGAGGGATAATTGAATGTACTTTATCTACTGACTCTAATAAGATATTTGATATTAATCACCAAGTATTTTCTTTCAATCATACAGGGAGAGCAGTAGTCTTCTGATGCTCATGATGGTGATCTACTTCGGGTGCTTTGTCTTAGCTTTCCTTGGTCTATTTGGAGGAAGGTAAGAGAACATTACCATGGCGATGTCAATGTTGATGACTTTGGTGCTGTTGATGACTGTGATTGGTGTGAGGGAGTTGTTGAATGAAGACAATTTGGTAATGTTTATTCAAGTTCTTTAGAAGGAGATAGGAATTTTAATTAGGATGCAAGTTATGAGGGCAGTCAGAAGGATGGAGGAGGTGGTGGTGCTGGAGGAGGAGGAGGAGGAGGAGGAGGAGGAGGAGGAGGGGGAGGAGGAGGAGGAGGAGGAGGGGGAGGAGGGGGAGGGGGAGGGGGAGGAGGAGGAGGAGGGGGAGGGGGAGGGGGAGGGGGAGGGGGAGGGGGAGGGGGAGGGGAAGGGGGTGGTGATGAAAATAAAAAGTGTGTCATCAGCATGACGTGTGTGTCCCTTGCAAATGTGAAGCTTGTTCAATTGAATCTGTTTCCTTGCTTTAAAAAAAAAAGTAACAATATATTGCAGTGACTTTTAATTCCCCAAAATTGCATTTCAGCAAAGAACCAAAGGAAGCGAGCCAAGAAAACAATGAGGGAGGTGAAAGGTCACAGCCACGAGCCAAGCGGTGAGTAGAATGCTGAACCTTCCTTCTTGGTATTTTGCTTGTGATCACGTTTCAGAGGCTATGTATATCAGGGGTCTTTCTATAAAAGATCTTGGTCGACATGAGTACACAAACCTGACAGAGAGGCAGAGAAATTCAACACATTGTACATGTACATGGTTATCTTGTTATGCTTATTATATGGTACAATTAACGAAAATATGAATTTCTAAAAATGTTAATATCCTCTGTGTACAGCTTTAGTACAGGAACCCTCTGGTCCCCTTAGCCAATGGGTTAATCTGAACATATCACTCTTTGATGCTGCTTGTAATTGTGGGCTTGCATGGTCATGTAGATATACAGTAGGCTTGCGGGTGCACCATGTGAGAGAGATAGTCAACCTGTTTGAAACGTCGAGCCACTCATCCTCTCCAAGCGCTATAGTTCTCCTTAGAACTATATGCTAAGAAAGATAACACACCCCCAAGAAAGATTACTGAGTCAGAGTCCTTTTCAGGACTCCTCAATCCTCTCTCTCTCTCTCTCTCTCACATGGTGCACCCGCAAGCCTACTGTATATCACTCTTTGTATTTCAGGAGTGTTTCAATGAAAAAGCTTGGTCGACACAAGTACGCAAACCTGATAGAAAGGAAGAGGAGCTAATAGTAGATCTTATCCTGCAATAGATACAGTCAAACCTGTCTACAGCGACCGCCCAAGGGAAACAAAATATGTGCTTGTTGTAGACAGGTGGTCTTTGTAGACAGGTTCCTTCAGTACATGTTTCAATGAGAAACCATTTTCAAGGGAAACAAAAAAAGTGCTTGTTGTAGACAGGTGGTCACTAAAGCAGGTTGACTGTATATCTATCTTGTAATACATCTGGTACAAAAAGAGGACCTACCCAAGAAGTTCATTCTAATGTCCCTGTTTGCTGCTATACTTAATTTGACATTGAACTCTTTTGTATTTCAGGAGTGTTTCAATGAAAGAGCTTGGTCGACACCCATACACAAACCTGATAGAGAGGAAGAGGAACTAATAGTATCTTATCCTGTTATATATACATATACTGTACATGTATATATATATATTTTGTGATACATCTGGTACAAAAAAAAGGACCTACATGTACTCAAAGAAGTTCACTCGAATGTCCATTTTTGCTGCTATTCTTAATTTGACCTTGAACTCTTTTGTATTTCAGGAGTGTTTCAATGAAAGAGCTTGGTCGACACGAGTATGCAAACCTGATAGAGAGGAAGAGGAACTCGTGGCATCTCATCCTGCTGGTGAAAGATTCTTCGAGATCATCACTCTGCCAGCAGCTTTTCAAAGAACTGGGAAGTTATCCATTACGGTAGGTCCTCAATATCTGTACATTTTATTAATAGTAAACCTTACCTGTTTGTAGATACTCATAGGAGACAAGAATTTTGATTGATAATAATGATAATAATGAGTCCATTTATGTAGTGCAGCTACTACATGAATATATTCTACTGCGCTTAAAGGGATTAGGTAACTTTGTCTCAGATTCTGAAACAAAATCCTGGATTTAGCTCATGCTGCAATGATAATTATAAACCTTTAGGTCAGTCAGGAACCCCTTGACTGTTACAAGCCAAGCACCTGTCTGATTATCAAGATATTTATGATTGGAAATTGAAATTCAAAAATTTGTTTTCCTAACGGTTTTTATAACACTACAGTCTATTGGGGAAAATGAGTCTGGTATAGTAAAACAGGTCACTCAAAGATTTTACTTTTTTAAGGCAGTTATCATTTTGAAGCGCAATTTTTTTAGAGCTTCAATATTACACCATATCACATACACTAATAACACGTGGGTCATGCATCTCAGATTAAACATTGTTTAACGATGCCTTTAATACCAAGGTATTATGTTTATTACCTTGTACGTAGCTGAGCTGCCATTAGAAGGCGCTAAAGCATTCAAGTAATTTTTTTCTCGTACCAGGTACTCATTTTGACCTGGGTGGAGTGGCAAATATAGATTAATGACTTGCCGAAGAACATTAGTGTCGCGGTGGGAGTCGAACCACAAATCATGTGATCCACAGTCAGGTGACATATCTGCTAGACCACAACACTTCTATGGGCAAGCGGTTTTCTCATCAGGTTCAATTTAATACAGTGTCAATAATAATTCAGGAAAAATTAAGTAATCAGCCCTCAGACAATAACATGTTTCTCCTTAAAGGGGAACTCCACCCTGATATTAAGTTGGTTTTGATAGAAGCAGAAAATAAGAGGAACAAGTCAGCAGGGAAAGTTGAGCAAAATCAGAATAAAAAAAAGAAAGTTCTGATTTTTTGAAGTTGCGACCAATAAAACACAAATTGACAGCTTTGTGACGTATCTTGCGAGCTCCTCTCCCATTCGGGCTGTACAGAAAATAACATTTACTTTCATTTTCTTAGTTTTTATAATGGAATAGATTTGTTTTATACAGGTAAAAAAACATATTTGACTGGAAATTTTCTTCAGGGCAAAAATAAAAATTTCAGATTTTTGTGAGTTCAAAGATCACTCCAGTAACTATTAGCCCTCCCTAGGTGCTAGTCATCTGGGATGAACATCCATTGTTCGAGGATATTTTGTTGCCGATGCCTTTGCCCTTCATTTTATACATGCACTATATCTGAATTGGTGCACTGTTTTATTTACAAAACTGAAGAAAGAGTTTGTGTTATAAGATATATATTCCTACAGACTGTCCTTCCTTGTAACTTTAAAGGTATAGACCAGTTCTGGTCATGCTATTGCATTGTGAAAGAAACGTTGTGGAAACGTTCAAAAAAGGTTGATCATCTAGCATATAAGTATTGGTGTGCACTGCAAGGTTCTGGAATCATCAAAATGATAAGAAATTTGGCCCAGTCTTGGTGAAGTTACAAGCACTGTAGACAGAAAGATGTATATGGGACTACGCTATATCTATCCAGGCCGGATAGATATGATAATTTACCAAATATATCAATTAGTAGGCAGTTTCCCGGCAAAATTTGTATCATCACGTATTAGTCAAAACATATTCTTTCACATGATTGGTAATAAGAGCTTCCATTTCATTTTTTGAGAGGGGGGCATTTCGAAAACTGGTCTATACCTTTAAACGAGTTGTTTTTAATCTTCTACCTCTCTTATCTGTTCTGTTTTCCACTTTACGTCCAGCTTGCCTCTGAACTTTGTTAGCATCGACAAGCAGACGTTCTGGTATCGTACCCTAGTCCCTGGAAAGGAGGTCGGGACCATTCTTGCCATCCGACCTTCCAAGAAGCAATACTCCGTGTTCAATCCCACCACTGCGCCAAAGTCCTCCTCGGACCGCGACCCTCACCTCCGGCATCGTCACGGCGACAGCGGAGAAATGGATACAGACTTTATAGGTTTCAATGATAGCGACGATGAGGGGGCCAGGAGGAATGGAGTAGGAGGAGGAGGAGGAGGGGTGAATATCTTTCACGGGTTCTGCCTATGGTTAGATCGCTTACAAGACGGAGAGCTGCGGAAGATGGACGTAGCGGAATGGCCAAACATGGACTGAATTTTGACAGTTTTTGTATCTATCTTCTAAGAGGTATAGTGTGTGCAATTGAAAACAATCTGCAACCCAGGTGCCAATATGTGTCAACAAATACTGGTATGAGGTTGCAACATCATTAAAGCTCCTAATAGTGTACAGGGCTGTGCCTTGTGGTCACTGATGGTCAAATCAAAAAGCATATACAGATAACAACTAAATTATTCATACCCTTACCAAGTTTTGTAATTTTTTTAAGTACATATATGTGAAAAATTGATTTTCCCCAATTTATGTCTCTTGAGAATGTGACAGAGAATTCAAGTTTACATCTAAAAGTATTCAACAAAGGCTTTAATTCAACTAGACTACCGCTCATTCTTAAGTTTTGAAACACGCAAAAATTATCCAATTTTCAAGGGGTTTGAATAATTAAGGTGTTAACTGTAAAAAATCTTGTAACCTCGAAACAGCTCTGTGAAAATTGTATCCACTGTCTTTGTTTTATTGTACTTCTAAGAGGAAGGAACACAAAATACATGGTATTTTGAACTCAACAGCATAGGATTATTGAAGAAGAATATTGCATTGAGGAGGTATTTTAGATAGTCCGCAAATATGTGGTTAACTGATGGTGTCCATGAATTCTCCCCTGGGGAACCCTGCAGGATCTGTTAATGGTGTTGGGATATGAATCAGGGCAATCTCAAAAGAGAGCACGTTCAGGGTATTCTAAAGGTCCAAATGAATTATCATCTTTTCCTCCTCAAGTTGGCAACAATTATTTGTATTTTTACTCTCTCATATTTGAAAAATAAAGATAAAAATTCATATGGAATGAAACGGTGTGAATGAAAATGACAAAATATCAACAAGAAATTGCCCATTTGTACATGAAAATAGTTGATATAAATTGTCAACAATGTATTGCCTATTTAGAGAGTGCAATGGTCATCTTCTATTAAATCACTCTTATTCGTTCTTATTCGTACGCAGCACGATGTTCTGCAACAGAAATGGATTTTAAAATTTCAGCAATTTTGGAACTTTCCGCTCATGTACAATTTGTAATTCAGAGCATTCTGGATCCAAAGATCAAAATAGGCTGTCACTAATAGGTAACACTAAATTGCTTTGGATGAAGACTGTCATGGTCGAGTGGATACGTCCTCGGACTGTGGATCACAAGGTTCGCGGTTCGAGTCCCGCTGCGGCACTAATGTCCTTTGTCCAGACATTAATCTACATTTGCCACACTCGACCCAGGTCAGGTAAATGGGTACCTTAGGATTATTCCTTGAAATACACTGTGTACAGATAACGGCTGCCAGAGCTAAAGCTAGGTTAATAATTACCAAAGCTCTTTAAAAGCACATAGGGACATTATAATAATGATAATAATTATTATTATTATAGTATACTAAAGGAGATCAATAAGGGGGCGGAAGGCTTTGAGGTATGCATAGCAATTGATGTACATTTGACAACTCATTTATAATTTGATGTTATCTCTAATTTTCAATTAGACAGCTGAGAGCATGAATGATGTTCTTTTTTTTTTTTACACATTTTGATACTGAATATTAATTTGTAGTTGATTTGTAAATTGTATCACATTGTCAGTTTCTTGTCTCTTCAACAGCATTATTATTGTGTTTTCTGGGATGTATGTGTTGATTGTAATTTTTAATGGCTACACTTGTCATCGCAGCAAAAACAAAGTGTAAGAGATATAAATTTCCTGTTTAGAAAGATGAGTGTACAGCCATGAAAACAGCTGCAACCTTCCATGGCTGCTTGACCAAGAAAAGCAGGGCCGTGTTTTATAAAACCTGGTATCAATAACAAATGCTAAATTTCTATGGCAAATTTGTTAAGATATGTCTCACAAGTTTTCATAATGGCTGGGTTATTCTACTAGGAAAACGCAAGGGACCAATTGGCTAAGGAATCTTAAATTCTTGCCTATTTCTTCAAGTAAAGTTGATCATGATACCCCAAAACATGCCTGACATAGCAACAATTAATGTGTCCAGGCACAATCTATCTATAAAGATTTGTATTGCATATTATGCGAATATTACATTATTTGTTTCCTGAAATATTTTTGAATTCAATGGGATACTGAGTCCTATTTCATGAAACCTGCTATCAGTAACAAGTTACAATAACTGTTATAAGCTACTGAAATAACTACATTTGATTGGCTATTAGCGCATTTGTAATTGAACATTAGCACTTGTTATTGATAGCAAGTCTTATGAAATGGGACCCTGATCCACTAATTGCTTTTCATTAAAAAAGAATTTCTTCAGGACACACTGGAAAAGATGTTCAGGGGAGTGGTTCACAAATACTAAGATCGACTTTAAGTTGGACCTAAGTATGGCACGCCATTCATGCCACTGGTTGCTCTCACCATTATGGTATTTAGATAATATTTTTTTCCCTTCCATAATGAATTATTAAAAAATGTAGATTTGTGACCATGATTTGTACATCCCTTGAGAGACCAATGCCAGTTAATGATGAGAGCAAACAGTGGCATGAACGGCCTGCCATAGTTACATCCAACTTAAAGTCGATCTTAGTTTTTGTGAAACACCCCCCTGGACACACTTGATATCTTATTCACGCCCCCAAACTGACTCCAGGCCGATTCCAAAGCGACCGACTCTTGGCTGTGGGGTGTAATGTAATTATTTGTATGGTCTGTTGTCGGTCTGGCATCAGGCTTGTTCGTGTGACTGAGGTATCAATGTGAATGCCTCTTCCTTTAAATATTGTCTTGATATTAGCAGGTCTGCAGAGGAGTGTTTCACAAAGACTAAGATCGACTTTAAATTGGACTTAACTATGGCATGCCATTCATGCCACTGGTTGCTCTCACCATTGGTCTCTCAATTATGATCTCTAGACAACATTTTTTTCCTTCAATAATGAACTATCAAAAAATGTAAATCCTGTAGATTTGTGACCACGATTTGTACGTCCATTGAAAAAAACAATGCCAGGAATGGTTAGAGGAACTAGTGGCATGAACGGCCTGCCATAGTTACGTCCATCCTAAAGGGATCCCGTAACTTTGTCTTAGATTCTTTAGAAATAATCCTTGATTTAGCTCATGCTGCAATGATAATTATAAACCTTTAGGTCAGTCAGGAACTCCATGACTTTTACAAGCCGATCGCCCATCTGATTATCAAGATATTAATGATTGGAATTACAACTTTTGAAAAACGTTCACCGAACGGTTTTCATAACACTACAGTCTTTTGGGGAAAATGAGTATGGTAAAACCGGTCACTCAAAGATTTTTACTTTTTTGAGGCACTTCTTGATCATTTTGAAGCGCAATTTTTTTAGAGCTTCAATATTACACCATATCACTGACACTGGTAACATGTAGGACCGTGATTCTCAGATTAAACATTGTTTTAAGGTTGATATTAGTCTTTGTGAAACACTCCCCTGTACTGTATCCCTTCCCTGACTTTGTGAATGACTAAGCAGATTAGTCAGATGAAGTCATCTAATTAGATGTGTCACCCCCCCCCCTACCTTGTATGTGGTGAATTGTATTCCTCTTCTTATTTTGATTCAGGTGTTTCCTACAGGTGTTTCCTTCTCCCCTTGTAGGCCACTTTGTGTTTTTCTTTAGACAGTTGTCATAAATAAACTTTACAGAGTAAAATTTTGACTAAAAATTCTTAATTTTGTTAAATAATTGGATATCATAGCTTCCTCCAGGTTATAAACTTCATGTTCATAAAGATAATTTTTTTGAAATCTCTTTCTAGCAAAAAAATGGAGCTAAACGGACTCCACACCAACCACAAACCAAACGATTCTTGGTCATTTGGGGTAATATAATTCCTTGTTTGCTCGTTTGTCGGGTCTAGGGTCACTCTCGTTTGTATGATCAAGGTAGTAAATCCAATGAGATTCTTCAAAGCTCAAATCGTTGGGCAGGATTTGCCAGCCATGGCACTGAAAGTGTGAATTTTCTTAACAACGTTATTGGTAGATTTAGTTTTCAAATTGGAGGCGATCAGGGTTACTTGTTATCTGTTATCGTGTGTGGATGATAATAAAAGGGACATGACATGTGTCAACCATTTGAATGTGGGTGGATTCAACCGATTGTGAACAGTTGTAACCCTTCGTCACGAAAAAACAACATTGAAGATTAAATTGACCTACATGTATCTATCGTCAAACTGAGTTGTTCAAGCAGTTGCCTGAAGGGGGAACAAATGAAAACTTGGTGACTCGTTAAGGAATCATATGTATTCACTATCAATGTACTAACAACTTTCGGTGACTAATTGTGACATGCAAGAGCATCGTCACTAAGATTGTCGTACGATTCTGATATTTACTGTAAAGGTGGATTTTTCTACTATTTTGTTGTGGGTATGCAGGCAAACACAATGAATGTATAGTTTGTGATTTAAATAGAAGTAAAATGATGTTCATCACGGTGGTTAAAAAGGTTTATCCAACTCTTGGTGCTTCTAATGAAAGATCTCTGAACCCTTTAGCCCGCCCCCCCCCCACTCAGTGTTACTTAGGGTACGCATATATGCATGTTCCCTCCTTTTAAAAACACGCCCCTAAGTCTCGTGTGTAAAGTCAATACGGGCTGGATTTTTGTGTACTACGAGTCAGACTATGGTGCGTGAAAAGTACCCCTTTACCGGACATTTTGGTAACACGCATGGTATCTCTCCATTCACGGAGTGGAAGGCCGGTCCTTTCACCCAAATTCACAAAAGAGGTTTGTCGACAAACCTAGCTTTATGCGTTTCAAACCAAGGTTTGTCTGAACCTTGGTTTGAAAGGCGTCATATGACGCCCATAAACCTCGACAAACCTCCATTTGTGAATTCTGGCCATAGACTCCTAGCAGTATGTCATGTACATCTTATAGAAGCCAGAAGGGTGTTAACTCGTATACTTAAACACAGAGTTAAAGCCCTTTTGGCTTTGAACAGAGGGTATAGAAGTGTAGAAGTTTCATAGTCGAGTGGTTTAAGCACTTGACTTGAAATTAAAAGGTCGTGGTTCGATCCCCGACACGGCACTAATGTCCTTTGGCAAGGCATTAATCTACATTTACCAATCAATACCCAAGAGAGTAATGGGGACCCGATAGGATGACGAAAGCGTTTGTGTTAGTAATTGCCTATGACCATACAGTAGGAATACTAACCAGGGAGTGGAGATGGTGCACATTGTGCGTGAATGAATTCAATGACGGGGGAAATAATATCTGTAGAGCGCTTTAATAGAGACGGTATTCATATTAAGCGCTACATAATCCAGATTATTATTATTATTAATATAATGTGCAGCTGAAAGAAAAAAAACTTCATGCAGAATTTGTTTAAAGGGAAACATGATCATGTACTGCAAACTGTATGTTAATCATTTCCATCGATCATGTCAATGCAGTGAATGCAAATTTTGAATGATTTAAACATGTTGGGTCAGAACAACTATTTTTTTCTTCATCAAAAACGTTTATTTTAAAGCCTCCATCCATCTACCCGTTTACTTTGTTGGATTAAACGCATCTTTATCTTTAAATAAATATCTTTGGGTTATTTGGGGTACTAGATATGTTTCTTTTTGTGTATCACCTTGTCAAGTGCAATATAAGAAAACAAAATGATGGCCAATTTTGCCACTTTAGAGTAAGGTCTATTTGATGCCATTTCTCTTTCTTCACAAGCACGGCACAAAATTATTGTCTCTCCTCTCACTTAGGTATAGCGGTATTTTTCTTGAAAAAAGAAGTGCCGAGTAGTTAGTTTAGGGTATTAATATTGGGATTTTGAAGTACTTTTGATAGTTTTTGCCTTTATTTTGTTTATAGATCTAACTATAGAAATAGATAATGCAGCATTTGGTTTTTTTAAACTTATAGATTGATAGTTGCTAGTTAAAGTACTTTTGAAGTACTTTTGTTAGTGTTTTCCTTTATTTCATTTGTAGATCTAACAACAGTAAGAGATACAGCAGCAATTGGTGTAAACTTTTTGATTGCTATTTGCTATTTTATCCTCTTTCTGTAGTAAGGATATTCCAAT